GACCACGACGCACTGCTTGGCGGCGACTGGCGCCGTGGACGCGCCGCGCGCTGTAGAAGGCTGTGCCGCTGGTCACGTCCGAACTGAAGCCCGCCCCGCCCCGCCCCGCCCCGCCCCGCCCCGCCCCGCCGCGGGCCGCTGCCAACGCAATGTACGTTGAGGCCGTCGGGTCAGGTCGTGGCGGTGCGGCGCGGTGCGGCGCGGCGTCGCTTCACTCGCATTCCCCGGCGGGGCGGTGGGGCGGCGCGGCCACTCTCATTATTGCCGTGGCCGCCGTGGCCCTTGGCGTCGTCGTCGCGGTCGTCGTCGCGTTGCCCAACGAGGCTTGACGCACTCGCCGCACTCTGCGCGCAGTTGACCCGCCGCCCTCCTGGTGTGGTGGAGGTGGTCGGGAAGTGGGAGGAGACTGCGAGGACTGCCCCTGCTGCAGCTCCGCGGCCGCGGCTCATCCTCACCGCCCACGCGTGGCGGCGAGTGGCGGCGAGCGTGCCGGCCACCGCCGCGGAGGCGTCGTCGTGACCCTGGCAAGGTCGCGGGCGTCGTGTGTGCCACACTGTGTGGGACTCTCGGCCGGGATGACGACTTGGCGCGGCCGCTTCCAGCGGGCTTCCAGCAATCCAACATGACGGCGTGCCCGCGACACGACGCGTCGCGGCCGCAGGGTTGTCGCAAGGCGCGAATGCCGAGGACGCCGAGCGTCGCTTTGTTTCTTGTTTTTTGTTCGAAAATGTCCCCCGACTCCCTCTTGGTCGGAGGCGGCGGTCGCGGGTTCGACTCCGCCCCGTTGCCGCGCCGTTTTCGCCACGCTGCTGCGGCTCACCGCCGCCATGCCCGTCCACCCCGTTGGCCCCCACCCCGTCCCAGCCGGCCTAGCGCGTTGCCCCCAGAGCGTTGACTGATGCGCGCGCAATGTTTGGGGACCGCGGCCCGGCCCCGCCCCACCGCGCCCCGACAGGTGTGTATTGGTTTTGGTGTGTCGGTGCCCCGCTTGTATAACCTGTCGGTACGCACGCGCGCCTGTCCACGGCGTGGACTCCACGGCTGCCCGGCCGCCCGTCGTCCCGGTGGCTTTGCTTTTCCAGGAGAAAGCAGCGGCGGCGGCCAGGAGCAGAGCGAGCAGAGCGGCCCGGCGTCCTGGCGTATCTCTTTGGCCAGGCTCGGCTCGGCGTGGCACTGCCCCGCCCCGCCCCGCACCGCACCGCACCGCGCCGTACTGCATGTACAGCAAGCGGCACTTCTTTCCCCTCTCCAAATCCGCTCTGAATCTCGCTCGCTTTTTTCCGCCGCTCTGTGCGCCGCCGCCGCGCGGTCCGCGTTTCTCCGCGTGCGTCGCCGCGCGTGCGTGGCGCGTGCGCGGACTCCGCAGCACGGCTTCCGTGTGGCGGTGGCAGGCGGCGGGCGGGCCGGGGTCGCGGGATTAAGCAGGCACGCGCGGCGCTACTCCACGCGTCAGGGACGCTCAATGCCAACGGCGGGCACGATCTCGGAGCGAGGGGTATCGGCGGCGTCGCCGTGTGTGCGTTGGAGTGGAGCGGAGCGCGGAGTGGACCGCCAGCGGCACGGCACGGCGGCGTAGGGAGGCGTAAAATCCAAGTCGAGACTGTTTGGGGGCGACGCCGCGACGCCGCCCTAGGGGATCAGTGGTGGAAGAAAGCGTGACCTAACTCCAAGGCGGGCTGGACGACGCGGTGCTCGGCGTGGCGTGGCGTGCCATGTCGCGGTGCTGCGGCGGGTTCCGCGGAACCAATGTAAAAACGGAGGGGGAGGGGCAAAAAAAACGTATCCTCCGTTCCTGGCTTGACTTGCATTTCCCTATTCCCGGGAAGAAAGGAAGTCGGTATCGGTGTGGCGCTGTGGCGGTGCGGCGCACAGTGGGCCAGAAGACCGGGAGGTGGTCAAAATCAGGGACGGGTTTTGAGCTCCAGAGTCGCTAAATGTGACTCGAACCGAACGTGTGACCCCACCAATCGATTGCTCTCGGAACGAGGAATCCATTGGTGGGGTCACACGTTCGGTTCGAGTCCTATTTAGCGATAGCTCAAAACGCGTATGGTGCCCGGGTGTTGGCCGCCTCCAGCGGTCTTTTGGCCCACTGTGCGGCGGTGTGACCCCCTCCAGGCCGCGGGAGACCGGGCAGACTGCAGGGCTGCGCCAGGCCGTTCTTGACCTTCCGTGTCATTCACTCCCCGCTGCTCACAGCTCTGCCAGGCCCTGCCTTGCGGTGGTAATCACTCCAGTCCTTGTAGTGCAGTGTGTTGACTGGGCAATTAGCCGCCACAATGTGAGTGAGTGTGTTCCTTTCACCGCCGTCCGTCCCGCCGTCCGTCCCGCCGGCCAGCAGTCCGGCTCTCGGGCTTTCTTCGAGGCGAGGCGCCACGGCCGGCTGGTCCAGACCGCCTGTTGTCGGAACGGCAGGCAAACGCCGCCGCGGGCGGCAAAAGAATGAAAAGAACTTTGTTGTGGCTTCCAATGGAACTGGCGACATCCTATCCGCGTCGCCGTGCGACTGACCCAGAGAGTCGTCTTCGTCGCACTGTCTCTCTCGCACCTATACGCCCCATGAGTGCGAGAGAGACGGAGCGACGAAATCACTCTCGGAATCAGCCTGCAGGTTGGCAGGATTGTGCGGCATGGAGTGGCTCGCCCTCCACGCCCTTCGCGGAGTGCTGCCGCGACGTAACCCGCTCGTCATACCTCTCCGAATTACTATGGCAGCACGCGGCGGTGCGCGGTGACGAAAAGGCGTGGTGGCTGGCTAGCTTGGCTAGCCTGGCGGCGAGGCGAGGCGACTCCCTTCTATTTTGGCAGGGTGCTTTGGCAGAACTGGCTCTTCGTTTCCCAACTGGATAATGACGGTATTGGTGGCGGCCGGGTCGCGATAAGGGGTGCGCGGCTCCTCATCGGACACGAGGCGGGGCGGGGCGGGGCGGCGGGGGTCGTTAGACGACCGCCCCGGGCGCGACACTAATGTGTCTTGCCACATGAACTCGAAAAAAAAAATGCAGAAGAAGAATCAAAAACTCCGGGCGTGAACTTAAACCCGAGCGGTTTTAAATTTCATTGGATCTGAAACCCTCGATAGTTGGTTCGCGAAAGGACGTGTGCATAGAAGAGGCCGCCAGTGGGAGTCGAACCCACCAGGCCTTGAGTCTTGTCGAGCAAGTCTCAGGCCATCGCCGGAAACAGCTTACCCTTCGCGCACAACCCTTAGCGTCCGATGGCCAGAAAAGGTCACAAAGTTAATGAGCAGCAACGCCTCAGGTGCTTTTATCCCCTCTTCCACGGCGCGGCGGCGCCTAGCGTGAGGCGTGCGCTGCTAGTTCGGGGCCGCTATTGCCACTATCGAAGTGTAGCGCACAAATCCATCATCGCCGCGGTGTTGGACACTTGCCATCGACGCAGCGGCTGCTGTACATGGCAGTGTGCACGGCAGTCCTGCAGCCGATTGGGCGACGCATTATCTTACCCAACTTTCGGGCTCGGCTGCCAAGCGACAGCGTCACAGCGTCCCGGCAGACCGATTCCGAGAGTCGTTTTCGTCGCTCTGTCTCTCTCGCACTCACGGGGCTTTCCGTATAGGTGCGAGAGAGACAGCGCGACGACACTCGGAATCAGCCTACCGCGCGCCGCAGCAGGGACGGCCGCTTGTCCCAGCCTTAAGTGCTCCTGCAACAGCAGCAGGTGGATTTACTTTTCAGCCTTGCTGTTTTTCAATGTTTCTTTTTTTTTCCCTTGTGAAGCGGGAAACGAAATGGCAGTGCGAGCTTCGGATTCCGCCGCGGTCACGACCGCCACGCGTTCCCCTTCCCCTCCCCGCGGGGGCAAAATCTGGTGGGTCTGGCCGGCGGCACACTGGCTGCATCGCAGAGGCACTCGCTGACCCAGCGGCGACAAAAACACGAGGCGGCCACGTCGGTCGCTCCGTCTCTCTCGCACTCACGGGGCGATCTGTTTAGGTGCGAGAGAGACAGCGCGACGAAAACGACTCTCGGTATCAGTCTGCAGGGCGGCAGGCGGCGGGGCCACGGCGGGGGGCATTCCGGCCGCAGCAACAGGTGGAGGGGCGCCACGTCACCGCGAGCCGCTTGGCCGCGTCGCGGAGCGCCGACAAAACATGCCAGACGACCCGCATGAGTGTGTGCAGCGCAGGCCGCGCCTCGCAGCGCCTCGCCGGGCTTCGTCCTGCCGGATAGAAAGCGGGGGCGGGACGCCTGGATTAGTTTTCGTCTGCGGCCCGCGTTGCCGCCGCCCCGTTTGAGTCGTGGGGGCGGCAGGCAGCCCGCCTGGCCGACGACGTCCCGTTGCCTCACGCGCCGCCCGATCCTGGTGCTGCTCATTGTCGCCCGCCTCCCACCGCGCCGTGGCCATGCAGTACCTGGCGCTGGCGTGGCGCTCGCGGTGGCGGTACCGCTGTCTTCATTTGCATGTGTTGTGGCGCGGACGGCGTGGCCTGCCTGGACGGCGGGGACGTGCAAACGTGCGCGCCCGGCGGCCAGTGCGTGCAGGCCGGCGTGCAGCCCGTTGCGACACAAAGGGACTGTAGCGGAACGCGAATAAACGGGCGCCAATCCGCCAACTACACAAGGCGTTTGGGGGGGGGGGGGGCTGGCGCGTGGAAAGTAGGAAAAAGGGTGTTGGGAGTACCGCGGCAATACGCGGCCATAACGCGCCGCGTTGCGTAACGACGTCTTCCTGCTGTCCACGCCCTGTCAAACTACGCCGCGACTTGCCGCGCTTTGCCGGGGGGCCGACGCCGCGACGCCGCGACGCCGCCAGCGCCGCCAGCGTGGCCGAACTCGGGCGGTCCCTTTGGAATGGCTGAGGTGACCCACTGAGGGGCATGTTGATCGGCTTACCTTCCTGTCCCTCCAGGCCACCGTGCCCGTTAGGCGCACACACACTGACTGACTGCCCGGCCGCGTACTCGACGAGGTAGTCGTGGCAGTGTGCTGCCGCAGTGCTCTGGGTGTTTCTGACTCCCTGCTCCTCGTGTGTTCCAGATGAGCCACCTGTTCAACATGTTCGTCAAGCAGGTCGAGGACCACTGCGACCAGTCCACCATGCCAGGTGAGTGCAGCCGGGGGTTGCGTCGTCATTTGGGCGTCGTGCTTTCCTTGGTTGACGTCGGCCGGTATTCGAACCACGGTCCTCGCGGCCCCGGGCAAAGCATGGGGCGCGCCCACCCACGCAGCGCGCCTTTTAACGCGCTCGGCTACCGACGCGGCCGGCGGACGACGACGCTGCAACCGGTTTGCCTGCAGAATGGGCGCCCCGGGCCTCTGTGTGTGTGTGTCTCTGTGTGAGTGGAGTGACAAGTGGTCGCACGAGCCGCGCAATTAGTGCGTTTGTGCGCACATCCATTGTGTTGTTTGTTTTAATTGTCAAACGGGGCGCGGCGTCCGTCCGTCCATGGTCCGTGCGCGGCTTGCGCGCCGGCGTGACCCACATCCCTACACTTGACCGTCGGCCGCGCCGCCGCAGGCCGCCAGGCCGCCAGGCCCTGGCACATAATTAACTCCAACACGCGGGATGAGTTGGCGCGACACGCCCACCCACGCACACACACACACTCGCACTCTGCACAGCGCTCATTCAAGGCCGTAAAAAAGGAAAGAAAACGAACTCGTTGTGAGTAATGAGTGAGTGCGTCGCGCGAACAATGCGATGGCCATTCATTGGACGCGCGAGGCGAGCGCCAGGCCTAAACGAATTGAAATTCAACTTCATTGCGGCCCGGGCGGCCTTTTGTTGTGAGGCCGTGTTTCTTGCGTCTTCTTTCATCGCCACACTGTACTACACAGCACAATGTACCCGGTATTTGTAAGGTCGGCCGCAACGCAACGAACCCACACACACACACACGCACACGCATTCACACGAACGCGCCCCGAGCGTTTACCACAAGGGACTTAAGTGGTCTCCGCACCGCGCCGCACAATATCGGGCTCACCCCGTCCAGCGCGGCCAGCGCCAGCACAAGGCTCGCCGGGACCATTTTACGGTGGGCACGCTCCGTTTGACCGCGCGGAGAAATGGCACTGTCTCTCTCTCTCCCTCCACCTGGCTGCTCGCTGAGGAGATCAGCGTCCAGATCGGCGCGAGAGCCCCCAGCCCCAACGGCCCAGCCCCGCGCGCGCCATTGCCATTGTTAGGCACGCCGTTAAGACAATTGGCCGTTAGGACATGCCGTGCGTTTGCGCTGGATTCCCTGCCGACGGGGAGGTTGTTAGGTTAGGGGGCGTCCACGCGGCCGGCAGGCAGGCGGCAGACCGAGTCCGATACTCGTCGCTCTGTCTCTCTCGCACTCGTGGGCGCCCCGTAAAGGTGCGAGAGAGACAGAGAGATTGCAAGCGAGGCGCAGGTGCCGCGGCCGCACGGCTCGATCGCACCGGATCCCCATGGCGGCGTTCTGACGGCCTGGCGGGACGGCCAGCCTTGGCATTTCTGCCGCAATGCTTCGATGTATCGAATCGGAAGTAAAGGAAGAGGAGAATGGCCGGTGGAGCACGCCATGCTGGCCGTGGCTGCTACACCCTAAGCCGCGGCCGGCCTAACAGAGTAACGGCCGCCTCGTTTGCATAAACAGCATCCGCTTGCTCGATCGCGTTAAGCGCCTCACTTAATCTGCAGAGCAAGCGGCCAGGTATTTTTATTCCTGCGTGATAAAAACGAATTGCTTGGTATGGAACTTATCCGTTGCTCATGTTGTTTTGGAGTATATTCGCACGACAGAGGGGCTGCGGAGGGCCTTGGCACTGCCAGGGGCTTTGCGTCTCGTTAGAGCTTTAACGCGCTGGGCGTGTCGTGCGGTGGACGCGCGGGACGGCCGGGACGGGTGTTTAGGCCAAGCCGTTAAACAAGTGGCCGACCTCCCCGGGGAGCCGAGCTAGCCGAGCGAGCCGAGCTGGGACACGGGGAGTTTTCCCGCGCGGCTACCGTCGATTTCACATTTCACCTGTTGCTGCTGCCTCGGTTGCCTCTCCCCGGTCTCATTAAATGGACATCAGTTTGGGGTCCGCTCCGCGAGCCGCTCCGTGATTGGCTGGGTGTGGCGAGTCCCGTTTCCTCCCCCCTCCCCTCGGGGTCGACGGTCTGCCCGCTAATAGAGTGGCGCGGAGTGTGTCGGTGGCGGAGAAACCTGTCGTCAGCCGAGCCACAGGACCGTCCCGCGCCGTCTCTGTCGCACCCCTTCGGGGCGCCACGGGAGTGCGAGAGGGACAGAAACGGTTCGGCAGCAAGGCGGAGGCGCCCTGTGAGAGCGACGCGTGCAACGCCGTGCAACGCGCGGACGTGGGGATCCTTCAATCAGATAGACGAAAAACGGTGCTGATTCCGGATGGCGGTGGAGTCGCTAGCATTCGCCCGCCGCCGCCGCCGCCAAGCCACGGACCACCACGGCGACGACGCCCCCTAAAAAGCTGCGCGGCCCTGCGGCCCTACACGAGACTTTCTAAAAGGCTCGGCCGCGACGACGACGACGCCACGACGCCGTGTGGCGGCGCACAGGCTCACAAGGCGCACTGCCCGCGGCGTGCACAGTAAGGTTGGGTCTTGTGGATCTACAAGCAAGTGTTTGGACTTCTCTCCACAAGCATATGCTTGTGGATTCACAAGCAAAAATGCCGTGATGAAAGGAAGGGATAATGAGGGTTTGACGAGGGTGTGACAGCTCCGTCGCCGCGCCAGCGAAAATATGCCAGACCGTAGCCTGGTATCGTACCCAGGCCTGTGGAATACTTGCCCGACACTTTACCGCTAGACTAGCGATGCCTGTGAGGGAGGACGGGTCCAGCCGCACTAACTATCCGCCAGCCCGCCCGGCGGCTGCCCTCGCTGGACACTCCCCCCTCCACCCCCCTCCCCGCCGCGCTGTCCCGCGTGCCTCACAGGTATAGACGGCCGGGGTGACGCACAAGCAAATGCTTGCGGATTCACAAGCCTGTCACATCCTCGTCAATGTATAACAAGGGGGCAGGTAGACGCGCGGCATCTACAAGCAAAATAATGCTTGTAGTTGCCGTTTGGGGGCGAAATGCTTGTGGATTCACAAGACACAACCTTACTGTGTGCCGCACCCCGCGCCGCGCTGCACCCTCTCCCCTTCCGATAAAAGGCGAATGAACAAAACGAGACGGGAAGAAAAGCGGCGAGGGAAAAGGCCGCGCTTGGCCGCTTCGTGCGACACTGCAGACACTGCAGCGCTCGTGCCCGTCGGGTCACCTTTCCGCGCCCTTTCCACCCGCGCGGAAGTTCACTGTCACGACCCAGCCTCCGGGCGGCCTTTTCCCGAAAGCAGAGAAAAAAGACCCGAACGCCGACAATCCCCGCGAGCAGTGCGCAGTGCGGTTGGGTGCAGTCATCTCTGTGTCGGGATGACTTCACCGGGCGGCCGGGCTCGGCGATCTGGCGCGGGCTCTCCTTATAGGGGGCGCCGCCAAGCCGGCAAGCCGCGGCCTGGGGCCTGGCACGCCCGGCGTGGCGGATGGATGGATGGGATGAACTCATCGCCGTGCCGATTGCCGTGGCTTGGCTCTTGCCGTTGCGCGGCCCGTCAACGTCAATACAGTCGTGGCGCTCGTCCTGGAATTTTCCAGTCGTTTCCAGGATGCAGCGCGACGTTCCCGGCTTGGGATGCGCCGCCTTTGCCGTCGTACAGTGGTGCAGTGGTACACGAGGTGCGCGACTTGTCCTCCCCTTCCGCCCGGCCGGGCCTGGCATTCCGGAGCCGCGCCTCCGCCAGCCTCCGCCAATGGCCACGCCCCGCGGCCCCGCGATTACTGATTTACTGCCCCATTGGCGGGCACTTTCTATTATTGCCTCGACGGCGACGCTCCCCGGGCCGCCACGACGCGATGGCGCCATTCTCGACTATCGTGTCACTTTCTGGACGCGAGTGCGAACAGTCCGAAACGACAACGTACAAGACGAGCGCCGCGCCCCCTTGCGCAACCGGTGTGTGCGTGTGTGTGAATGTGGCTTGGGGGCGCCGCGAGCGAAGCTAGATTAAGCGGCATTTTTGACCCCGGCCCAGACGCGTGGCCGCTGGTGCGGCTGGTGCCCGCGGGGGAAGCGAGTGCCATGCGGCGCGGGACCCATTCAGCCTGGACAACACGGAACTTGGCCGCGCCCGGGGCTGCAGTGCTGAAGCAGTGGCCGGGCCGGGCCCCACCCCGCTCCACCCGCAGCGAGCGCAGCACGCACGCACACGCCTCGCGCGTGCTTCGGCTGTCGCGGCTGTCGCTGGAAAGGGGAAAGTCGGAGCCGCGATTTTGTAAAACAAATTGTATGCGCGCGATGGACAGGCGGTCAGGCGCAGCGCGCAGCCAGGGACTCCAAGAACGTGGACATAGACGTGTTGCCGTTTGTTGTGGGCGTGGCTCTCTCTCTGCCCGGCGGACGCGCTATGGGAAACGCGCAATCTCGGGGCGAATGCACGCGGCGTCGGATTCGCATTCGGTGGAAGTGGAAACCACGAGACCGAATAGGATTTTCGACCATTTTCATGTATGACGCCCTTACCTAAATACGAGGTGAGGTTAGGTTCCCCCCGTCACATTTGGGGAGGTGGTAGCGTACATTGTGTCCAAAAAGCCGGCCAACAGCTTGGCCCCGAGTCCAGCGCGTCCGTCCGCCCAGGCCGACGTCCACAGAAGCAGCGCGCAGAAATTTCTTTCGTTTTCCCAAGCGGAGTCCATCGGCTTGTTGAATCATGAGAGCAGAAGAGTCTTGCGTCATAATAACTAACGGCAACAGCCGCCGCCCCCAAAGCCTTTCTCCAAATGTGTGTGCCTGTTGGTCCCGCCGGCAAGAAAGGCTTCTTCCTCGCGGTTCCTCATGACGGCGTCGAACGTCCTGCACGTCAAGTCTGTCGTCTCTCCTCCGAGGGGCATGCCACTGCGGCTCGGGTAGCTGTCTCGGCCGTCGAGGCGTTGCGTGCTCCGCGGCAATAATTACTGCGCTGCCAATAAGAGCCCGTCCGGCCGCTGCTGCCAATAGTCGGCCGGCCGAATCGGCGGGAAAAGGGAAGTGGAGACCGCAGAGCCACCACGTGACGCGGGGCTGCGAATAGAGGCGAGCGGACAGACAGACAGGCAGACAGGCTGCTCGTGGGAGAAACATAAACGGGTCGCCCTGCCTTTCCTTCCTCTGCCTTCGCCTCCCATGATATTTGCTGCAGCGGCGTTCGCGTAAAATAATGGCGGGAAGGACAAAAGACTTGGAGGATCCCGGCCATGCCGTCCCGGTGCAACCGGGAGAAACATGGAGAGAAACACGGGTCGTTAAGGAATGCATTAACGGCGCTGCTTGGCGCTGGCGGCTGGCGGTCGGCCCGAGAGGATTGTTCGTCTAGTGCGAGGCAATGGACGAACGATAGGTGCGGACGGACGGAAGTTCAGTCAGACAGACAGACAGACAGACAGACAGAAGGTGACCGCGCTAAACGGCCGGCATGAGGAAGGAGGCCGTCTTCCGGCGCGGGCCGGACTCCTACAGTGTCGGCGGGTCATGAGGCGGCCGGCACAGCGATGCCGCGCAGTTTTTCGCCGCAGTCTCTCTCACACTCCAACAGAACGCCGAGTGTGAGAGAGACAGCCGGAACCCCAATAATGGCACAACCCTTGAGAAAGAGGAGGCAAGACAACTCCGCCAACAAGACCAGCTCCTCGGCCACAGCAGGTCTTGGCCGCGGAAGCGCAGCCGATAATGCAGCCTTCGCGGCAAACACAATTACGTTTGCCTTGTGATTATGATTCCGGGCAAATCTTGATAAGCGCGAGGCTGCGACTGCGACCGGTTGCCGCTGGACCCGCCGGTTCTCATAACCTTCCGCTGCTCATCCATCCACCCATCCACCTCCACGGCGGCGGCGCGGCGACGCACCCAGATCCAGCGTGTGCCCACAGTGATACGAGAGTCGTTTTGGTCGCTCTGTCTCTCTCGCACCCATACGGGATACCCCGTGAGTGCGAGAGAGACAGAGCGACCAAAACGACTCTCGGAATGAGTCTAGTGGCTGCCTGGCGCCGAGGCCGGCGTGCTCTGTGTATGCAAATGGCGGAGGGCGGCGCGTACCGCCTTGCGTAGTGCCACGTAGTGCCACGGGGTGGTGCTGGCCGGACGTCCGCGCAGTCCGCGCCGACGCACTGGATCCAGTACGCACCGGAACATGAGAGGGCGATGATGAGTCAGGAAGTCGAGACAATCGACTCATCAGCGGACCAAGGACCCGACCCGGAGCCTCTTAGCATGAGTGTGCAACACCTCTCGCTCGGTACCGACACCCGACGTCGTCAGGATGCAGATTTGGTTCATTTGAATTGCGCACTTGCCGCAGCCCGGGTTGAGGGGGGAGTCGTCTGTGGCCTCTTTTAAGGCTCAGACACCCAATCTCCTTGAGTTCCGAGGCTTGTTTCTCTTTCGGGCATTATTGTGGAGTTTGAGGCTGAAAACACGGCCGCATGCCGTGCCATACAGCGTTCCCATCCGTAATGTATTCGCCGCCACGCCGCGCTACGCACAGCCACGCACGGCTATACGCACCGTCGCTGCGAGCAGTGCGAGCGCCGACAACAACGAACGGTCCGCTGGCCGTGCTGTGCGGAGGGAACGTCTAGCAGTGAACGGGAACCATCGCGTGTGGGAGGGGGAGGGGCGGGGGCAATGCTCACTTAGCCTCCAAATGTTTCCGCGCGGTGAAGATGATTTGGCCTAGGTCGCGGCGTCGCGGCCCTCTGCCCGCCTCTGCCCGCGCTCCGCGGCCTCCGTGGCGTTTGCGGGTCAGTATGCCGCCGCCGGGCCGACGCGCCGACACCGTGACGAAGGAATAAGGAGGGAAACAACGACCCTCGGCTAAAAGAACAACAACCGGCAAAAAAACAACTCGTGGGACTGGAAGCTGCTGGAAGCTCGTGTGCCGCGCTTGTGGCTCGCCAGCACCCGCTGCACGCCGTGCTGTGCGCGTCGATTGCTTTCCAGCGGGAGAAATTAGAACGGCCTTTTAAAGCGGAAGCAGATAAGGTGCGTGCGTCGGACCGTCGGGTTGTGCTGTGTGCGCGCCCCGCGCACTGATACAGGAAGCGCACGCAGCCACGCAGCGCGCGGCCCGCGCTCTTGGCGACGTCCAATACCGACCGCCTGAGCCAAATTCGCGCGCGGAGTCGCGGTGCGCGGTGCACCGCAGCGTGTCTCGTGTGCCTCAGGAGGACATGCGGACTCCTTCGAAGAAACCGCAAAAAAAGAGGCAAACTTTTGGTGAAGTCGGTTTTCTTTTTCTCGGGCGACGCGTGCTTGCTCGCAGACAGGGTGGGAATGGAACGGTATGCCGGCCGGTGGCGTGGCAGGGCGTGGCGTGGCGGTGCATTGTGGCTCTGCCGTCCCGTTTCCGCGTCCCGCCGACTTTGAGGCCAGTGGACTGACTCCGAGAGTCGCTCTCCTCGCTCTGTCTCTCTCCCGCCTGTACGGGGCGCCCCGTGAGTGCGAGAGAGACAGAGCGACGAGACCGACTCTCGGAGTCAGTCTGCAGCGGCGCGTGCAAATGAACGAGACACGCCGCGGAGCCGCGGACGCCCGAATCGGCCGCGTCATCCGCGTCAGCCACGCTCTACCAGGCAGATGGGAAAAGGAGGGGCAAAATGAAGGGAAAAGGCGACAAGAGATTTTCGGACGAGTTTGATGCCTCGCGTCTCAACTGTGTACTCTCTCTCTCGGATTGCAGACTGCAACAAGGTGCTCATGGTGTACGGCCTGACCAACCTGGCCAAGATGGACGACGACAGCCTCGACAAGATGGACCCGTACCAGCGGGAGGCCCACGACATCAGTAAGTCCGCAAATTGAAAAAAAAAAAGGATGGAAAAAAGACCCGGTTGACTTACAAGCCGCGGATCCAAACTAAACCGCTTGTCTTTTCTTGAGCGCAGTCTGGGACTCGATGATGAAGGGCAGCTACAAGAACGCCGGCGCCAGCACCACGCCCGGCTCCAGCAGCACCAGCAGCAACACCACCCCCAGCAGGCGCAACGAGGGCCACGACGTCTACGCCGGCGACGATGGTACGGCAAGCTCCCCGTCACTCACCGAGAGTTGTACATTTTGTTGGACAGTGTACACATGCAGGGAGTCCCCGTGGCTGGCTGGTGGAGTAGTCTCTTGCACGCCGTGCATGTCCTGGTCGTCCTGAATGAGAGGAGGCAGGCCTTCGGAAGCGGTGTGCGTAAACGGGCGGTCCCTCGGGGGGGGGGGGGGTCGATCCCGGTCAGAAATGCTGAGCGCCCAACCGACTCAGAGACCAGCTGTATACATCCAACAATCACAAACAAATGTACTGCGATATAATGTAAAGTTGTGTATAAAATGTGGTGTAGTTTTGCCGGTTCGGTGACGGGCTGCCCTCTCCCCTCCTCTATCCTTCCTTGTTCCCTGTATTGCAGACGGCGACCTGGCGGACGGCGGCAACGGTCTGGGCGGCGCAGGGGACTCGCGGGACCAGGATGACGTCGCCAGATACGCCTTCGGGCACGGGCCCATGGTGGTCCGGGTCATGCCGGACGGCTCCCCAGTTCCCGGTACGTCTCGGGGCGCCTCGCTAAGCGCCTGTACTCTGTCCTTGCACGTGTACATACCTACTGTGTCACCAGCGTCACCCCCAAACTTGTGTAGCTAACTCGCTGCGAACCCATTCATGTACAATATTTGTTCAATAAGTTGATTCCTTTCTGTCGCGCTGATGCTCATACGACGGACGGACAGCCGACGCTGCGCACTGCTACGCACCCTTTCTCACCCGCCTGTCTCTCCCAGGCGACGTGGAGCGGCCGCTGCCCCGCGACGAGGACGCCGAGGAGTTCCGCCTGATGCGCGGCCAGCCGATGCCTTCCCTGGAGGAGATCCAGCGCCCCAGAGCACCCGGCGCAGCGCCCGGCGCCCAGCACAGTCAGCACAGCCAGCACCGGCCGCGCGGCCACGCCCCCGACAGGTGAGCAGTGGCGGCGCGGGGCGTAGCCTAGTCGTAGCGACAGCGAGGCTACAGGGCGGTGGCGTCTAACGTTTGACCGTGCCTCCAGGTTTCAGGCAGGCCCGGCGCCACAGCAGGGACACTACAGCAGCCGGTTCCCTCAGCTGACCGCTTCGCAGCCCCACGCCAAGTTCGCCCTGCCGCCCCCCGGCATGAACTTCAGGATAGCCGCGCGGCCGCACCAGCCGTGAGGCCCCCCACCCCCCACCCCACCCGCCGCCGCAGTGAGCCGCAGCGCAGACCTCAGGACCGCACAAGAGCACGGATTGGTTGGACCGTGCTTGCAAGCGAGGGAGCCTCCTTGTGGAGTTAAACAGTATTCAGAAATTTAAATAATATAATTGGGTGGCTCTCTGCAGCGTTCAACGATGCAAGTGACTTTAGATGAATGCTTGTCGTATGACTTTGGAATTTGGAATTCGGTGTTTCCATTCTTTTGACGTTGGCGCGTTGGCGCTCAAATTGCCTTTAAGTGTGTATATATATTTATAACAATGCAACCGGTGCTGTAATGAAAGCTGTCCTATACATGTTTAAAATGTCTCTTCGAGTCTCTAAAGAAGCATTGTAGATGAACAAATACAGTAATTTATGTGTTACAAATTTAGCTTTAAGTACTGTTTTCTTATTTTACTGTCATTATTTTTATAATAAGCAGTGTTGTTACATTCATACTAGGTAGTTGTACATACGTCACAATCATGTTCTTGCCTGTTTGGAGCACCAAAGTGGTGTTGATCCGTTCCTCTTTTGTAAATAATTACTTTCATTAACTTATTTTATGTTGTTGAAACAATCAAACAGCGTTAAATCATGTAGTATATATTTATGTTGAATGAGAGAAGTCTTGATTTTTTGATGATTCGTAAGCCAAAACTGTGAAACTAGGGTACTTTAACCGTGACCAACCCAGACTAATTAAAATGGTCCCATGTAAAAATATGTTTCCTTCCAGCGGATTCTACTCCAATTCGCGTGAGGCACTGTAGTTGTTATACTGGCAAAGAAAACCTCTGGACATGTAACTGGCCCTAAAGCGCATAGCACAATGAATATTTGTGAAATATACAGAGATGTATTGTAACTCATGTGGTATTAAATGAAAACGTCCTGAATCTCCCCAGCAACTCTCTCCCATGATTCTCTCACACACGAAGTGATGGCCCATTCTTAATACCTCGCCCCTTAACAGACAGGCCGGTAGCGCCTGTGAGGTAGGCAATCCGCAATCCCCACAACACACCGGCGTTGACACGGTGGCCTACCTTGCCCCTGTGAGGTCGAAAGGGGCAGGGTAGGCCACCAACTGCACGTCGAAGTGTAACGGGACCCCGACGTCTGTCCTACCCCACTGGCAAAACAAGTTGCACAAGACTCAAGTAGACTCCAGAACCACCCTGGGATAAAACGGGAGTGGCACACACTACCTTCAAAATAATTTTATTTCTTTAATTTGATTAAGTACAGTTAATATGTATACATTCAGTCATATGAACATCCCAGGGGCGGCACATAAAGCACATTTGATGAGCATAAGTGCATTGGCGCTACTGGGGCAAAGAAGTAGTCTGTTACATGATTGACAATTGCTGACAAGGTCAACTTTGTTTTAGTTTTAAATGATGGGTCTTCAGTTCATCATTTAAGATTTTCAGTTCCTCTAATAGCACTTCTGTATCTCTAAATTGCTTCTCAAGTTTTACAATTTCCTGTTTAGCCAAAGCCAGTATTTTCACTTTAGAAGATCCCTTCTCTAGTGATAAAATATCAGCTAATGCTTCAAATTTGGTAGCAAGTGCTCTTCGTCTTTCACGCTCCAATGAACAATGTTTATCAGCACTCCTGTTTCGAGTTATGGAATCTGAATCTGAGCTATGTTTGTCAGCATTTCTGCTCTGGGACATAGAGTCAGAATCTGAACCGCTGACATCACTGTTATCATCTATTTTGATTTTAACATTCTTCATAACACCACTGTGTTTACTGGACATATGTGCTTGAGCCTCACCTTTCGATCGAAATTTTCTATAACATAATTTACAGTTGTAATAACCAGAAGCAGATTTACTGGCCCACATTTTCCTCATCATGTGGTCTTTGTTTCTGTTGTCCTCTTGAATTTGTTTCAAAGACCTGTCTTTTTTTACAATGGATCCACATTTGGTTTGTCTCATGTGTGCTTCCAAAGCAAACTGTGTCCTCCACCTAACTTTGCAACCTGGACATGTGAGTGGGTTAGATTTAGTTTTTTTACGGGCATTGATTTTAGGGACATCTTCCACATCTACAATTTCATCCTCCTGAAAAATAAGAAAAAAATTAAGACCTATAACTTATTTTTCTTTTAAAAACTTTAATTTTCAAGTAAAATTGAAGGCTTACTGTTTCATATTCTAATTCATGTTGTTTAGAATGAATTGTTGATAGCCTGCTGCCTAAGCTTTTCACCCTGTATAACAAGAAAATTTAGAATTTAGATTTGAAGAAATGAACTGAGGAGGAAGAAAAATGGAATTGCTCCTTACATGTTAGGCGTCAGCGTTACGCTGTACAGGCCAAGTCTCTTCACTGTCTCATTCGATACTTCCTCAAAATCACTGTCAACTGTTACAAAGTTCATAAGGACTTCTGGAATATCGTCTTCAGCACCAAGAAGTGCCTCAGTCCTTATCTGAGGAAAAAAAGTTGTCACAATAGTTTCACACAATATGTTCACAGATCTGTTTTCAAGAGGAGGGGAGGAGAGAGCTTTAGGTGCTAAAAAGAATGTATTAACTTTACCTCTGCTTCCTTTCTTAAATCCTTGTCATGGTATTTAAATTTGAAAAGTTTTTTGTTTTCTGTGAATGACAACAGATTGTTGGCATCAATTGGGACTCTGGAAAATATAAAATCAGATTGATCAATTGTTGAGATAATAATGAAACAAACCGTTGTTTTTTTTTTTTTTTTTTAATTCCACTTACGTTTCCGACCCTCCATTAAAGCGCACATAGTAAAAAACAGAGGCATCCGATTCATTTAAGAGAACACTCTCCACCTGTGGAAGAAACACTGAAATTAGAATTTAAAAATAAGATAGATAGAGCCCAGCATAGCAAAAACAAGAAAGAAAAACAAAACCAGGGAAAATCACACATCGTGGTCGTAGGACATGAGACGTTTTCAAATGAAGTCCGCGAAAGGACTTCGATACATCGTCCCGGCTTGTGGACATGGACATGCGCACAAGACATAACCTTTGAAAGAAGATTACTTTCACCTCCGGATCAGAATCGGGAAAAATGGACCTCAATAATGGGTTCTAACTCTTTTATGTAGACAATACCATTGAAAGACTTGGTTTTCCGGATTGCGACGCACGTGCACGTACACGTGCTCGCACAACTAGGCGCGGACTGAGCGCGCAGGCGCACGCATGCATCGTGCCTACGGCAGGCCTACGCCGCAACACGCCGACCTCAGCGACCCACGCCCTGGTGTCGCGGCGTCCCTACGCTCCTGCCTTGAGGGCAAAAAGAGACTTACGGTGGCTGGGAAGGGCTCAAAGCCCGCAACCCTGGCAAAAACGGCATCGCCCACTTTGAACACGTGCTTCATGACGTCCGAGACGTGCGAGGCGTGGCGCACGTGTCACCGCGTGGCAAGCGACACCGGACGGACACCGGACACGGACATGTGGCGCGCTCCTTGCTGACGCCGAGCGTCCACTGCACTACTGCCCCTTCCCTCCCACCCCGCGTCCCTCCGCGCGTCGCGCCGCTGCAGCCGCAAAGCCGAGGCGGGGAGGGGCGGAAAGCAGTGCAATGTGTAAATGTATTGTCTCGTCCCACGTGGCGCACCTTTCAGAACTTGCTGATGGGTGATTAATGATATTTGGTTGTCTCCATTGCATCCTGTGCCAAATCATGTGCATGAGAGGAGAGAAGAAAAGGGACAAATATGAGGATTTGGTTTCACATGGTTTTATTTTTAATGAATACAGTTATTTTCTTCAGCAGCACCAGAAATGACTTTAAATCACCACAGATGAACAACTAGCTATAATGATGGGAAATAACTAATAAACCACCTGTTACAGACTGGAACAATTGAGTAGAAGTTCTTAATAAAGAATATTAAAACATTGTTTTAAAAACCATCTACTTTCTTTGTTTTCCCAAGATTAAAAATAAGACTAGACACTGAATTGCTATCTGCAGTTGGTTGAAAAAAAAAATTCCAATCACTTACTGTATTTGGTCTTTTGTACAAGAGCTAGACATTCTTTAATAGAAGTGATAATGATAATAATATTTACAATATGTTTGCTCTAGGACCATATGAATACAGTATGGATCTTCAAGTAAACATAAAATGTGCATATATAAGCACTATAAATAAAATATACATGTACATAATGCATTCTCATTAGAAAAAAAGTAAATACTCGCACAACAGCCACTATGTGTATCAACATTTGTCGTATACTCTAAGCAAATCACAATAGGTGCGACAGATAGTAGCAGGCCACAGTAAAACCAAGTTATGCTTTAGCTTATGGAAAGAATGATGGGGAAGAGGGTACTTAAATACTATAAAACCTCAGGTTGATCTAAAATCAAGCTTCAATCGTGATATCCTTGAACTTGAGCCAACAGGTAGTGTATTGTCACAGTTTAAACCATTTGGCTGGTACTGCAAATTCCGCATCTCCAACCATTCTTAGACCCAATCATTCAACACAACAAGCAGCAGACAGTGCAATTTGCAACTGAAAGAAAATGAACAATGATTCACAAAATAAATTGTCCGTCTGAATTCTAAAACAGCATTTTTGTACACTTTCCTGTTTGTCTCTTAAAAGTTCAAAAAGTCAAACCCTGTGTAACAAGAATCAGAACATAGTAGAATTTTACCCCATTTCAGCGATTTCTTGCTTCTTGTCAACAATACAAAAAAGAGGTTTGACAGGCAAAATTTGTGCAGCAGAATGTTAATTTTAAGATAATTATCTAAAGCTTTCAAGGTTTCCTTAACACTATTAGATGCAAGAAGCAAGTTCCAATTGCATGTATTTCATATTGACCCTTTTCTTCATGTGGTATGCAATAAGAAGAAATATAAGATCACAGACCTCGACTTAAATCAGTTGTCACACTCAGATGTTACCAATCTATACTTATTTTATCACAGCAATGAGGCATGTCCTAAATCGCTAAGAAAACACAAAGTTGTGTGTGCTAATTCACAATTTTGCAATTTTTTCTTTTAGCGAGTAGACTAAGTTCTTAGAGGATGTTCATAAAATCCATTTTCAAGTGAGTTGCGCCGTGGTATTTAAAATTAGAATTTAACATTAGATCACATAGCTAAAGTACCTGATTATCTTTCTTCTTATGACTGTGGAAAGCTAACGGAATGGTTGTCCAAACAAATTTGGTTAAAGGTTATTGCAACAACTATGAAATACATATGAAAATAAATTACAGATACTAATATTTTCTATTCTTCTTAAACAATCTCGTGTACTCAACTCCACAGGCATTTCCAGCTAAGTACACATGTTATGAGCAGGTTAGTGTTATCAGCCATTTCATAAGCAGCCTGCATCCACCAACCGCAACATATTAAGGATGCACACTATAGTACACATTTAACATTAACTAAAGCATTGACTTGGCTATCATTCTTCAAGGCCTTTGATATAAGGATACAGAATTGATTAATCAAGTTAAAACATCATGACTACTTCTGTGTCCATTCTTACAACTGTCAGTCTCCCAAAGATAAGCTGTATTTAATTCAGTCTTTATCCATTCAAGAAATAGAATTCTTACAACCTATGACACTTCCACATTTTCTTTAAAATATTACTAAAATCTGTACAAATCTACTAATTAAAATTTTGTTATCAATAAAGCACCACAGTCCAAATTCAAGGTAAGCCAAAGGCCAAACAATGTACCTATAATTTTATAAAACATAATAATGTGCCTAAGCAATGCCATACAAATACAATAGGGCTTCAGGTTAAAAGTAGCATGAGATTTCTATCCCTGTAGGTGCCAAAAAGGGGCATTTTATGAAAGTTTGTAATCACTATTTGAGATGGCAGCAGTTTCCATCATAAAGTTTCGAGCCAATACTTTGCAGTACATTATATTCAAACTAACAGATGACATGACACACACGTACACTTGCACATACAGGATAAACCCCACTTTAGAAACCTAAGAATCCAGAGCACAGCATAGCAAAAACAAGAAAAAAAACAGGAAAAACGAATAGTTCTCACCAAAGCAGGGAGGTGATATAACAAAGCTACAACATAAGACTAATAAATAAATTTCTGCACTAAACAAACAAGTATTCATAAAATAAATATAATAATTTAAAAATGACAATGAGACTAACTCTAACGTCGAAACAAAAGCAAGACTTATCACATAGATTTCTCCCCAGTTCTAAACATTATCCTTCCAGGACCTTGACTTCACACAATGAGCTAGGCAATGGTAGCCTTCAGATATGATGATTCAGTGTGTATATGCGGATAAGGAAGATGCCTCTCAGTTTCAAAATGGAAGTTAACAGACATAATTGGAAAGCATGTTTGGAAAAGGCAGAGAAAGCTGCATCTATTTGGCACCAACTAGGTCAGCTTTTTGCTTCAAAATAAAAGAACACATTCAAGCGACTGAAATTGAAGTTACATCTTTCTTGCATATTTGGAATAGGAACAATGACCTTCCCCTGATTTTAAAATGATAGTGAAAGGTTGGAATAGGTCGACAGAATACTTGAATGCAGTTCCCTAGCTATCTTTGATTCCTCAACAATGTCGCTTTTAAATTAAGCACAAGCAATTTACAAATAATTATATATTCATCTGTGCAGATATAAGGCAACGACACTAAGGCCTTTTAGCAAGGCTGGGTGGGGAAGAGGGTGGTGATTCAAGATCAATGGAGCTTGAATGAGATGCACATGGATTAGATGGGCTTGCTGAATTTGGTCCTTGCTGCCTAGCAGGGGGACTGTACACTAATCGCATTCCTGACTGAAGGAGTGGAGCCATGGTGGTTGGCTGGAAGTAGTAACCAGTGGGAGCGGCAATGTGTAGGGCACGTAGACCGGTCAACGGACTTGCACCAATGCTGATGCCACTTCCTGCTCCACTTGCAGTGCCAGCCCCATCAGCTGACTGCGGTGCTGGCACATTCCCCTCTGTCTTGACTACTACTCCTGCTGCTGCTCCTGCTGGGGGGACTGCTGCGGCTGCTGCTGCAACTGGTGGTATGGCTTCTCGACGTCCATCTGGAGTCTGAACAAACATCAAACGCAAGGTGTAACCTCAACCGCGACAAACCACATGGGAAAGCTTCAAATCAATCTACCCATCACAATGCATTCAACAAGTTAGTGCATGACAAGGACAAGCGGAGGAAGGAAGAGCTCCTCAACAAGTTACCTGAGAACCCCTAGCAGGTGAAGTGGGTGGGGACTGAGAGAGTCCCAGGCCCAGTGCGAGCCCCAGCCCCAGCGCCTCGCTGTGTGAGCCAGTGTGGGATCCAACGGGAGACTGGGGAGCTGTACTGAACACGAGGGAGTCCTCGGTGCTGGTGCTGCCATGGCCCGCTCCAGCGGCTCCAGCCGCCCCAGTTCCAGCTCCAGCTCCAGCCCCCGCCGCCCCGGACCCGGCAAGGGCCACACCCGCCAAGGAGCCAGTCTGGCCCACTGCCATGTACCACACGCCATCACCATTAGACCATCAGACCGTCAGACATGCAGAATCAAAATGCGCAAGGACCACAAAGGTGGAAAAAGACAGTTTCCGAGACTTTAAAAAATGGAGAATGAGAGGAAGCACAACCACAGAGAATTATAAACCACAATAAATTTAAAACAATTCTCTAAAGAAGGGATGCATGCTTCACTTTGACATTGAGATGCAAAGGCAAGAAGGACTTTTTTTTTAAAAAAAACTAAGAGTCCTAAAAAGTAAACAGAGGGAAGACACCAACTTCAGGTTTCTTTTAATATTTCAGTTGAGCATTGCGCATTGCCACCAATTAACTCCTTCAGCAGTCCAAAGCAAAGGTTTCACACAAGATAAATAATAAACTGACCTTGGCAGTGAATTGGTGAAAGCGCCTGGTAAAACATGGGTCTCGCCAACATAGCCGCTGCCTCGTGAGGAGATAGGGAGACGAGACGTTGTACTGCAGTGACTTGTTGAGGTCCCCCAACCACGTTTCCAAGGCCAACCTACATACAAGTAAATAAGTTACCAAATGCTTCAGTTTATGACGGAAGGGCTATAAAAAAAGCAATGAAATGGATAAAAAAAATTAAAGGAAATGTAGAATTCAAAACATCAGATATTTTGTCAGAATAATGAATGACGCTTTACAACGTGTTCTTCTATACAAAGAAATTTGAAGTTACAAAGTACCAAAAATAGAGGAAAAATTTCTGGGACAAGTTGAATGATGTCTGGTTTGTACATGCCTACCACATATTGTGGTGTCTATTGTCTGATTGTATGATTGAGCTTCCCTTATTTTCTTTGAACTGACGTCCAAATAGATACGTAATTTATAGACAAAAAATTCGTTGAAATTTCTACGTAAACAATATTAGTAACAGATTAGAATACACTGTGAACCACTATTAGACGAGCAACTTTGTGAGTTAATGCTATTTTCTGACATTAATTATGTGCATTGCAACAACAAACCAACTAGAGAATTGGTGTCGTGATGATTCCTAGATGAAAATGAGTGGACATGGATCTTAGTATTTACAATTTACATGATGAAGTATGTATAAGGTACACTTCTTATACTGCTCGGTGGACAAATATTCCTGTTCTAAATTCCAAGATGCTACTGTTCCTCTAGGAACGATGCAGCTAATGTCAACTATGTGAGAAATCTGCTACTCATTTGGCAAGACTTATGAAGACTTGCATGGGTTTGCCTGCAATATCATAGGAGAAGAACTTGCAGAGCGATGCGGACAAAGGAGAGGGTTGTCAAGACGCACCTAAACAAGGCATGTCATACTAACAATGCACAATAGCACAAAGAGAGGGGGTAGATTTCTCACACCTATATCTTAAAATACGGCGAGACCAGGCTTTGAGAAAGAGCTACAAATAACTACTAGTTTACCTGGCCTTTTCCGTGCCTTGCTGATATCTGAGCTCTTAGCTTCTCCACTTCTTCACGATGCCTCCTTTGCATAGCATCAAGTTCAATTTGTTGTCTGCAAAAAAAAAAAAGAAAAGAAAAAAATTAACTTATGTAACTTACCAATAGAACATGAGGTTTATTTTATGACTCCTAGGAAAGTAGAAAAAAACATCAACTGACCTCCTGAGTAAATTGCGATACTCCTCATTTTCCTCCAAGGGCACATCATCAACACTGTCATGCTACAAAAGGAAAGAAAAAACCATTATGAGTTTTTTTATTTCTATGTGATTCATGATCCTATAGTGGTTTATAGTACAATTACAAAGTTCTGTTTTTGACATTGAAAAACATCAAAGAGAACCAAAATTATTTTTTTTAAATTGATAAAACTATTTTAAAAGATCCATTTAATAATACATTGGGGATGATCACAACAAGATAAACTAACAAACACAAAGGGAACAGATGAAATTCAGAGCTAACACTAACAAGCACACATTCAAATTGACAGACCACAAAGAAGAGAACATGCCATGATCAAGCAGACAGTCACCAAGGCATCACAACAATTATGGCCCATGGCACAACAGCTTCCACCATGCATGAACAATGTTGTCATTCAATCAACAAATGTGAACATGCCTTAAAGAAGAAGAAGAAAGTTCTCCCACTGAATTTGAGGTTTACAGCTGTGTGTAAAATATGAAAATTTAACAAATAATTTGATGTCAAGTTCTCCTTAGGTGAATGAAAGAATTGACAATATGTTATGGACCATGCACACTATTCTTCAAAAATGAAGTCTTCTCCAATAAGTTTGTGATTCCACTATTCCTCTTACTTCTTTATCTCCAACACGTTCTTGATCTTCACCTTATTTCATAATGAAACAAATCCCCAAGATAACATTACACATTTGTCTGAACCTTTTGTTCTTTTGTTAGCATGAACATGAAGCCCTTCATAGTTTCAAATCAATCTCACAAATTTGAGTCATACACAATTCCAAAAGGTCCAAGTGACCAGGAAAGAGCAAGAAAGAAGAGCTAATTTTAAAAACATAACACTCATTCTCATGAGCACACAGATGGCAGACGTCCGTGCATACATGCACCTCATAAGGATTTCAAAGAAAATGCACTTTAATGAATACAAACAGTAAAAACAATAAATTAATTGTTATTTGAAAGGTACTATTAGTTTGCTGTATAGTTAGAAAAGGTCTTGATACAAATAACACATGAAATTTACACTTAAAGTAGGTTTCCAAGTAATCACAAAAGAAATATTTAAAAATTACTTTGTCACCAATAGGTTGCTATCAAAAATTTTAACAGTAGAAGACAGCAGCGTGAAATGAGGGTTTGACTGGAAAGTAAAATGTTAATGCAAAGCAGAGCAGAGACAGGGGTGGATGAAGCGCCATCACCTTCATGCGCCTTTCTGACCACCACCACCACAGACTCCTTACCCAATAGCTGAGCAGTGCACGATGAAAAAATCGAGCTGTATCGTCGGAATCCATAAGACTTGAGTCCTGTGACAGTTCGTATGAAGGTGCAGGATGATTTCTTGGACTGAAACGTGGCAAGGGTGCTCGAGAGCATGGATTGGCATGTGGTGAGTGAGGGTAGTGCAGACCTTGTCTTAGTCCCTCTTCCTGATGTTGAGACCAGTTGGCCAAATGAACTGGAGGCCGCATTCCAGCATGAACTGTGTGATAGACCGGCTCATATTCTTCTGGAATGGCTACAGGTTCCGGAACAGGAGCAGGTGTTCGAGACCGATATGAACTGAAGAATGGAACATCCTGGTCAGGAGATACTCTTGCACTAAGGAATTCTTGACTGCGAGCCTGTTTCATTCTTGCCTTCAGAATATCCCATGGTTCACTTCCAACAGATTGGTGTTTGTGAGAATGGTGAAGGGCATGATGTTGTTGCTCTGAATAGGAGTACTTATTTTCCATGCTTCTTCGGCGAACTTTTTCACTAGCAGTTTCTTTGGCTCCTTCATGGTGACTACTATGAGGACAGTTCAGAGGGAGCCTGTCACTGGTGGGATAAACATGTCTAATATTTACATCTTTTGATGGGGATAAATCACCATGACTTGTCCAACGGTGAGGAGTTGGGGGGCTGACAGATCTACTGTGGAATTCTGACAGACTGCCAGTGGGACAAGCACATTTCGGTACAACTTTCCGAGGTGTACCCGAATTGGATCCAAAGCCAGGCACACTGGTTTTCCTTGGAGGAGAGTTTGTAGGGAGAATCTTCCCAGATTTGTCGGATTTTACTGGTATCGGGATCTTACTTGTCCACTTTCCCTCCTTATTTCCCACCAAATCAGAGGTGGATGGGAACTTTGTGATGCGCTGAGTATTAAAATGGCGGTAATCTTGCATGCTGCGATTAGATTCAGAAGAGGAGGAATACAAATCCGGAGAGTAAGACCCATACCATGTAGGACTGGTAGGGCTCGTCGGACTTGCGTTTCCTTCGTCTCTTCTGCGAGGGCGGAATGAACCAACCCTATGACTTTCCACCATAGTCTGTGCTCGAGGTCTCTTCATTGGACCTGCACTGTGTGACAACTTCGGATGCAGACTTTGGGGTACACTCTGAGAAACTGGACAAGGGATGAGCAGTGAGCCAGAAATCAGTTGTTGAGGCACTGCACTTTCATGAGGAGCCACCAGATAGACAGGGGGAGTGGGCGTATGGTGGGCAGCCTGCATGTGGCTAGGTTTCTGTAAGATGTTGATATGATGAGCTGCCCACTGTTGTGATGATTGCATGATGTTAGCAGGGCAACAGGCGGGATTCATGAAAAAGCAAGGCAGCACACAGACACATTATAGTCAAGAAAAGGGGAAAAACAACAATAAAACAACAGGAAAAAAAACAAGGAAAAACCACTCAAGTGCATGTCCAGTTACAAAATTGAGTTAAATCATAACTTGCTTTCAAAGAAATCAACAAAATTACAATACTTAACAGAATGAAAGATAAGACAGTTATTTAAGGTTAAACATGCATCTAGCCAAAACTTTAATTGCAACAACTTGTCCAACAATGAGCACCCAATATACAACCAAACACTAAGATAATTACTTCAGCACCACCACACTACCAATGCAATAAACTTCTTTGTAGTATTGGACCTACTGAACGAGTGCAATAATTATTGGACCTACTGAACGAGTGCAATAATTGAAAACAAAACAAGTTTCTAAATTTAGATCAAAGGAAGGTTTTTAATCATAAAAAGGTATTCAATCAAAATAATTTTGAAAACAGAAGCAGTAAGACATAAAACAGGTAAGCAGTAGCTTCCATACCAATAAAAATTTACAGCTTCTTTAAACAGTTAATTTTTTTTTTCTTTTCAAAATATTGATTTTTAAAAAGAAAAACTGTACAATAAGATTAAAAAAGACTACCACATCTATTCAGATTAGAATACAATGCATTCCAAGAAGCATAACTTTATGTGTTGTAATTTGAACAACGAAGTAACATACCTGTTCAGAATGACCTGAGTCAGAGGCCATGTGCAGAACATGAAACACAGTTGGATCCACAGAAGTTGAACCTTCAACAAAAAAAACAAAAAAACATTGAGACTTAATGTCACCAGTGAGGAGACAAATATTCAAGGGTTGAAATGAGGAAAAATACTAACTCTCATGTGGTGATGATGGGATTGCATCTTGAGGTGAATTTATTGGGGTATGGGCTGGGGCAGATGGATCAGGCAGATTGATAAGACCTGGATCTGGATGTGTGACAACACTGAACCGCCCTTTGCGGACAGCTGTAGCAGTAGCCGCTGCAACTGGGCTAGCACCCATGTTGCTTGGGACACTCTTGTTTCTCTCCTTCAAGGGAAAACATATGGTTAAATTAAAAATTTAAGGCGCCACTCAACAAAGATGAATGGAAATTTTAGAAAAGAACCCACCTTTTCTGCAGGTTTGTCCTCAGGTACAACACTAACTTGAAACCTGGACAGTCTTCTTTCTGGAGGAGCAGGTGCACTGCCATCCTGAGAACTTTCCTTTTCTTGAACATTTTCATCCTGGCCCTCCTATGAGAGAAAAGAAAAAGAATTGAGGGGAAAGAAATCCGATACACATGATTCTTGAAATAACTGCAGGTCATTCAAATAAGGGGCCATTAGCAAATTTCATTGGGTAAAAATAAATGGTGAAAGTGATATGGTGTAGCTGCACCTTTATAACAAGAAAACATACTCAATGTGTTTTTTAATAATTGGAAAGCAAACCCACCAGATTTGAAGTGAAAAATTTTCAACAATTTTTGGACTGTAAATATCTGTGTATAGGTACTTACGGCTAGCGTGCTTGCTTCTACTTGTGCATGTGAGGAGTGTTCCCGGCCCGTGGTTGATGTGGCATGCAGAGGGTGGAGGGTGCAAGAGATGCCTCCCATGGAGAGTGGGTGGAGGGGGAGGGCAGTTAGCACCGGCGGAACCTGCACCAACACGCATGCTAGCAACGCAACTTGCACCCAACATGCCAAAGGCCAAACCAATGGAATGACAGCAATTGCTACATTGTTGCCATAGCCATTCTTCACCAAAGTGATAAGCCCCTCATGGGAAACCCCCGATTTGTATCTCTTCAATACATCACATAAAAGAAGAGCCCAAGCTTCAACAGTTTATTTCTAATTTTAACTTAAAAAGTGAATTCAAGAAAGATTGGCAGTCAAATGGTCAGATCCAACACACACCCACACAAATTTAAGTTCAACAGAATTACTCCAGAGGAGCATCATTAAAACCAGCACGGCAAAGCAATCATCTATACACCCATGAAAAATATTGCTGGATTCAGGCAGTCCCAGCCAAACTGTGAGAAAAGGGTAAGGGCAGAAGAAAAGCGGGACCACACACATAATCAGAATGAAGGAAGAGCTTTAGATCAAGAAATACCTCAGGACTCAAAAAAAGCTAGTGAAACCCAACAAAATTTGTGATAAATGATTAAGTTAGTGCAAATCTGTAGAACACATCAAAAAGTTCACATGCATTTTGATGTATTGATTGGGATTTTGATGTACTGCAGGAAAGAAAAGCTCTCAAGAGCAACCAGATCCCACCCCCACGAAAGTACAATGTTCAACACATGAAATAAAACATACCTGTTGAGATTGTCCTATCAAATAATGTGTCTGCAGGTCACGTCGGTATCCGGTGTGAATCTTTGCTAATTCCTGAAAAGTGCAAAAGAAACACATGTTCATGGAGACAGCCAAGTGTGGCACTGACCAAAATTGAAACAAGGTAATATGCTTACTTGTTCAAGGTCCGCAAGATCAATAGCAGCTGGTCTGGGTCTATTTGGGCGATGCATTTCGTCTCGAGAGGAAGTTTGATTTGGAGACATTACACCACTACTCATACCACTTACATCCCCTACAGGTGTTACAGTAACCTAGAAAAAAAATGAAGCAATAAGGCTTAACAAAAAAAAGTTTGAAACAGCAAAAAGCAATTATTTTCAAATTGAACATGTGTTATTTACTTGTTGTAATAAAGTAGGTCCAGAGGATGGGTTCTGTCCTGTAGTAGTCAAAACATGCACAGGTTGTACCACAGCAGTTAAAGGAGATTGCATGGACTGAAGAGAAGGTGAAGCGAACTGCTGAACCGCTAACTGTTGCTCAGATGGCAAGAGTGAAACTCCCTCCAGGCCAATGATACCTCCTGCAGGTTGGAGAACCTCAAGTGTTGCAGGGAGTAAGGCTCCTTGCATTCCAGAGGCATGCAAAGTGCTGTGAGGTGATAAGGGGCCCTGGAACAATGTTTGAAAATGTTAACAAAAATTGCACATCATTTAACTGGTCACAATCAGAGAGAACCACACAAAGTCAGATGCTACCAGAAATGCCACATGGACACATAAGGAGTCCTCTCCAAACTGCAACAGCCATCCTTGAGAAGGCCTAATAGAGACCCTCAAGTGGTATGAACTACAGTCAAGAGGGGACTGAGGCCCTGTTGGGCACTAAAGCCGTCGCCGCACCGCATCCCCCCCCCCTTTTCCCCCATCCATCCACCCACTCAAATCCCATCCTAACCAGGCTTGATGATCAATCACTGCCAAGGTCAATCCTCCACCAACAAAGCCTTTTGGCTATGGGCTGACAGAGCCAAGAGATCAAGCACCAAGCACCTACTAGGTGACAACACGGCCATCATCATCACATCTCATTTCATTTCTCTAAAGAATTACACATTGCAGGTTTGAAAATTACTTACCACATGAGTACCTCCGGTCATGGAGATGGAGGCCAGCTTTTGTTGAAGAGTCTGCATGTATGTATCATAAGACAAAGGCATATGTGGAGTAGCTGGATGTGATGGGGGAGTGCCACCGATGCCCAGTTCAGATGGTTGTGAGGTCAGCTGAACCAGTTTTTGCTGCAAATCCTCTATTGTCTGTGGTCCCCTGAAATGTTCATAGTATCAATATCATTAGTGTAAGAAGCACAATTTAAAAAAAGTCCTCTCCAATAAAATTTTATGTAGAGCTTACCCTGCATCAGCCTGCAGCTGAGAATTCAGCTGCTTCTCCAAAGAACTTTGTTGAGTCAATTTGATGTGCAATCCGTCTTGACCAGGAAGCATTGTGTTTTCTGGAGTGTGATGTTGAGCTGGTGAGTCACCCGATATAGGTGTGCCACCAGACACTGGTGTGCCTCCCATAGCATACTCATCGCCATAATAGTAATGTGAAGATTTTTCAGGAATGGTTTGAACTGTTTGAGATGAGATATCATCTAATTCTGAAGATGCAGCAGCTGAACTGACCGGCTCGGGTAGACTTATCTTGCGGGCTTGCTTGTCAATGGATGGGCTGAGGCTCGAGAGAATAGTTTCACTCCCTATGCGTACCATGGAGCCCCTTCCTGGGGCCTCAGAAACTGGCAATACCTCTGATGCTGATGACATAGGCTTCACAACAACAGAGCTGGAATCCTGTTGAAAATGTTGTAGAATGACCATATCAATCTTTCACCAAGCAAGTTGATAAATTTATTTTAAGTACAATGCAGTTTCAGTATGTACCTTGACTAGATTAGTTTCAATAGATACTGGAGTCACTACAGCGTCAGTCACCGTACTGACAAGAAAGCGAGACACCTTCCGTACCTGCATGAAAAATATAGCCACAAATGTGAAAAATACAGGCCATCAATTTAGTTACAAGTAACAAAAGAATACTGCATGCAGAAGACCCTCACCGGTGCTTGCTTGACCACAGGAGCAGGTGCAGAGGGAATAGTTGATATGCCAGACAAAGGTGTAAGCACTGGTTGATCCGTAAGTGACATACGGTGACGGACAGGACTATTAGGTGCAGAGCCAACTAAAGATGATCCCTCATCCTTCTGTAAGGAGTAGAAATAAAGCGGTAAACCACAGCAAAAAGAAAAAGAAAAGACCTAGTCGGAAGGGACCTGAGCAAAATCATTATTTAAGTTGATTTTAACAGTTGTTCCCATAAATTCTTGCTAATCAGATTAATTTGATACTTGTTAAGGGGAGTGGCAGAACCCTAGATGAGAATTAAGAAGGAAAATAGAAGTGCAAGAGATACTGTTAATACAAAGCAGTAGAGATTTAAACTGGTAAGAATAGGGATATATCACTACTTCAGCTATAAGGCTGAAAATTAGTTTACTTGACAGGCAAGGTTCCTGGTCTGACAAAATTAAAAAGATATCAGCATGAGAATTTACAAGGCAGCAAAAGAATACATACAGTATGCACAGATTTATTAATTTAACAGCATAAAATAACAATCATAAGGCCAAAGAGCATATCAAGATAATATAATAGGCCAAATGGTCAAGAACATTAACCAAACAGAAGAAAGTACAGAGCAGGCTGATACAAATAAACATGCAACCAAAGAAACAGTACTTAAAATCCAAAGAAATAAAAACTTCAGGGCTCAAAACTGCATTAAAGGGAATGTCAAGAGCCCTAAAATAAAGCACACATGTTATTTCAACAACAAAAAACAATGCATCAAAGTTAAGGCAGAAACAGACAGGAAAGCAGGTCAGACAGTGAAGCAGGCCAGACACAAATGCAAGTTAGCTTCTTAAAACTCCACACATACATGCCAGCGCACTTACCGAACGATGGCGTCGGTGCTGTTTTATAGAAGATTTGAAGGAGCGCTGACGTGTTAGTGAAGCATGTCGCACCTAACAAGAATTGCGCATTCATCAGCAGACCCACATAGCAATGACACCACACCACGAGCATAGCAATGACACCACACCCCCCAAAAAATGATAGCTGGTACTATTCTTCTGAAGTGTATGTTATTAGAGATTCAGGTACAATAAATTAGTGATTCAGACGAAAACTTTGATGAAAGAGAAACACATAGAAAGTAAAATGAAGGCACTGGAAAGGAGAAGCAGCACATGACGAAGCACGAAGAGAAAGGGAGGACCCCAAGCAGGCCTGCCATACAGAACACGTAGCCAGAGAGAGCCACCGAACATCTCAAATCCCAGCAGAGGTGGGGAATTCCACCAAAAAACTTATAGGTATGGTGTGACCGTGCACTTACCCGACCAGCCTCCAGCACCGGATCCGAGTCCCGCTCTCTGTCCCTCGGCCGATGGGCAACAGGACTGCCTGAAGTCTCGGAGGGGAAGCACTGGGTCACCACAGGTAACTTGCTAGGATCTGCTTTAACTTGTCTCACAATTTCTTGGATTATTTCAGTGAAGAGTTCAGCTTGTGTCTCGGGCAGAAGATTTTCAGCAACCTGAAAAAGACAATGGAAATAAATTCACTGCATTTAGGGAGCTTTGTCTCAACTTATTTAGTTTTTTTTTTTTAACGATTAAAAATGTCTTGGTTCCTTACCAAATTGTTTGCAATATCCCCAGGTACATAGTCTGCACAGTCGAACTTGAAGGTAACAGTTTTGTTTCTTGTTGTTTCCAATTGACACTCCACAGTGGGGCCTCTATTTCCCGACGGACTAGAGCTTCCGGCAGACCCTTCCGTGCCTTCCGTACTCGAGCTGTTGGATCCATCATGGTTAATACTTAAGACTGTCAGCCTGGGTCCTCGCTCACTAATAGCTTTGTTGCGCTGGCGTCGTTGGATTGTGCGGCGGTTGCGTCTCTCAGTTGCTGTCTCTGGCACCAAACCCCCCGCAGCAGCAATGATACTGGATGAGAGTGCCTCTGCAGGGTCGCTTGCAGTGCTAAAAGAAGGAAAAAGTGTTTAAGGAAGAATTGCTTAAGTTTGTGAACAAGGTCTTGAAATTTAATGAACTGACCTATCAGCACGAGAAAGAACGCCCGAATCAATGGTGGTTTGTGAGGAGTGAGTGGGGTGGTCTCCCATCTCAATAGCATCATCGACCTGTACAAGATAAGATAAATTAAATCGTATGTAAAGGTTCTACAAATGTAACACAACAACAAAAAGAGAGTTAAGAGAACAGCACACAACAAATCATAATTACATGCAAATTTAAAAAAATAAAATTGAGAAATGAAAACACATAAGTGAGAAGAGTATTCAGGCAGGGAATTGTGATACAAAAAAAAGCACGAAAAAGGAGAGAACATGCAAAGCAGAAGGGGATATCAGCAGATACACATCAAAGTCGCATACCCGTCACAAAGACTAATTATAATGCACCCAAAAGCAAACGTGAAAAGTCCAGGATAAGGACTTTTATTTTTAGTTTGGACTTTTAAAAAAAGGAGGGCATGACATGGACTCATTTAACTATAGAAAAAAATATCCTTGGAACCAACAACCGTAAGTGCAGTGTAACATCTTTCTAAATATCATGCAAAATAAAAAGGGCTGAAGGATTTTTCTAAACATTATTTAAAATACAAAAGAAAATAAAAACAATCTACTCTTTTTTTGGTGTGTGTACCTGAGGGGAAGCTGAACGTTTGAGAGTAATTTGCTCTTGATCCACAGATGCCCTTCTGGAGCTTGCTTCTGAGCTCGCTCCATATGGTGTGGATGTACCAGTAAAAGGCATTTGCCCGTCCGAAACGCAGCCGTTTTCTAGTGGCGCCAGCTTTGAGTCTTCCGTTGCACTGAGGCACTTCTTCTGCTCCGCATCGGCAACAGTCTCCAGCCCTCGAGAGGCAGTCAGCTCGCAGTGGAAGGCATGGCTGTCGCCTGACTCGGGCGGAGCTGTGTAAATGTGGACTGGAGGTATCGGTGTTGGGAGCTGCTGCACTGACGGAGAGTCAAAGTTGGCTGCAGACGGAATCCCTAGTCCCTGTGACTCGGGCGGCACCAGGTACGGGCTGCCCTGGTATTGGGCTTGGGTCTGCGAAGGCAAATGGCTCGAGTCGGGGAACACGGGCGTGATGGTGTTGGCGGGCACCGGGGTCGAAGGCGGGACGGGCGTCTGGATGGGGGTGAGCGAGGGCGAGTGGTATTGCGGCATCTCACTCACAAGGTAAGTGGGAGTGGCGTTTTGCTGGAGCAGAAAGAATTGTGCCTGCGGCGGCACAGCTTGCACGGCCTGCACGGTTTGCACCATCTGCACACACGGCGCCCCCGCCGCCAGCATGCTGGGGGGGTGAGACGAGGACGAGGACGAAGCGAGCGGCACATCATCAGCCCCAGCGGCCCCTGCGGCCCCAGCGGTAGCACCACAGACTGGCGCGGCCACGGCGCCGGAACTTACGCTGTCCGAGACCGCTGTTGCAGAGGCCGAGACCGCAACTCCGTCGGCGGGCTGTTCCCCCGTTCGAGCCCCCGGGCCGGGGACGCCGGGGACTCCAGGCAGGGGCGGTCGCTGCACCAGCACCATGCCCCCTGGAGCCCCCGGCCCCACCACGAGGTTGCCGTCGAGGGTGGGCACCGGGAACATGGTCTGCAGGAGGGAGGGGGCCGTGGTGGTGGCTCCCATCTCCAGCAGAGCGTTCTGGAAGACACAAACGAGATTGAAAGGTTGGAGCGGCAAGGGTGAAAGCATACCGATAAAAGATTCTTCACATACCTGCCCTGGTTGAGCTTGTCCAAGGAGCATCGGTGCAGAGGTCTGGTGCAGGCTGGTGGCTACATAGAGCTGCTGTTGAGGGGCGGGGGCAGGGGCGGGGCCACCCATTTGAGCGGGTATGTAGGCGGCTCCGGAGGGGTGGAACACGGGGGTGAAGGTGCCCACGTACCCCCCGGCTACTCCAGTTACTTGCGAAGCCTAAAATCAAGATAGATGTGAAAATCAACTTTTTTTTCAGCAAGGTAAACAAGAAAACAGTGAGCAAATAAGAAACATACCTGGTGGAACACTTGGGTAGCTCGTGGTGCTCCATTGGAGGGAGCAGGAAGCAATGAAACAGGCGTATAAAGGGTTTGGGGCTGCTCTTGTTGCTGAACATGGTCTTGAGTTGACACATCTTGTGGTTGGCTTGATGTATCAACCTGGGGAAGGCCTTGGGGGCGCTGCAGGGTATCAACCTCCGGTTGGGGAGCTTCATATGGCTGATGCTGGGAATCTGATTGAGGAACGTCTTGACAAGCAACAGACGGGTGACTCATGCTGGTGGGCTCCTGCGACAACTGAAGTGGGTCTCCCACTGACTGGGGTTGCGGACGACTCTCTGGATGGCCCACTCGAGAGACCTCTGCTTCTTGGACAAGATTTCGATACGTATCTTGTTCCTGTGACTCTGGCTGCTGCGGTAAATCTTGCATATGCAATACATGTTGTGACTGAGACGCCTGAAGTTGAGCCTCCGCTGAAGACTGCAGTTTTGATGGATTTTCTGATAAGTTGTGGTGCGGCTGAGACTGAGATTGTTGTTGCATTAGAGGCTGAGATTGAAGTGGAGGCTGTATTTGAGCATGGCTTGCACTCTGAGGTTGCAATGAAGCTTGAGCGAGTAACTGATGGTCACCCCGGGCCTCAGCTGCTTGATCAGTAGTCATTTGGGAGTGTTCCATCCGATTTTGAGGCTCAGATTGAGCCTCCAGTGACATTTCCTGTTGAGGTTCTGAATATTGTTGCAAAGACAAATCATGGTGAGCTTCGTGTAATGTGTCAAGTTGCCCTCCAGCGGACTTTTCTTGAATATGCTCCTGCGGTTGCTCAAGTGACTGAAGGAGAAGCGGATTAGGAAGTGACTGGACGTGAAGTTGGGGCAGAGGCTGGTTTGGTAGCTGCCCTGATGATTGATTTTGACCTAAATGTTGCTGAAGTTGAGAATGTGACAGGCTTTGTGCTTGAGATGGTTGTGCTAATTGAGGTGGAACCTGTCCATGTACCAGAGTCTGCTGAATTGTTTGGAGGGATTTGTCACCTAAATCTGAAAGTTCATCCTTTTCTGATAGCTGCGTGGGAGAAAAGAAAAAAAAGAGAAGAAAATAAATGTTCACTTCTTGACTAAATTCTAAATAGACAAATGACCAAGAAACAAATTTTAAAAAACGGGGTGAGGGTGGGAGAGGAATCTCACCTGGCCCAAGTCCATTCTTTGAGATGGGATCATTATATTAGATGCATCTGGCATGTAAGCCATTTCAGGCACTATGGAAGCCTGCTGATTACCAGTTTGCACAGACATATTTAATTGATCTGTTTGATGAACCGTTACATATCCAGAGTCTGGTGAAAATTCTGAAGAAGGCAAAAATGAGTTAAAACTTACCTAAAATTAACGTTCACTTAAAAAGTAGAAAAGCGTAGAAAGTAAATCATTACCCGAACCAGCAGGGATGTCGCGCTGCTCTCTCAGATCCAACACCTCCCCTTCTCCACCAACAAATTGCCCTGAGAGAACCTGTTTGCGTTCCTCTCTTTCTTTTGATAAAGATTGTATTTGAGCCTTTATTAACTTTGCAACAACACGTGCATCTTCTTCCATTATCAACCCAGAATTAGCCTGAACAAAGTAGAATATATTATATTAGTTGGACCGGGAGACTGCAAAACATCATCAATTAGTAAAAAAGGTTTGAAGGTTGCTGACCATTTCTTGTGAAACTTCATCAGCATTATCATTATTTATATCAAAGTCAAACTGTATTGCTTCATTCTCTTTATGCTTATTAGATCTCTTCTTTGGATCAAGTACACGAAGTCTGAATTCAACTTTGGACGCTGTTGAAGCCACGGCTTCTTCCCGAGATACAAGTTCAACTCGTAGCCCACAATCTTCAGCAAAAAATTCGTGGTTTAATAGGTCCTTAATGCCAGGTCTAGAAACAGTAAAAGGTATTTATCATTAATTTGATCGAGTAATTTGAAAAGTTATGAAAAGGCAGAGCCAGGCCTTACCTTTCCTCTCTCTTTAATCGAATACAGTGTTCAATAATGTCTCGTATTTCTGGACTCTCTACTTTTTCAAAACTCTGTGGTTTGACACCCTGAGAAGAAAAACATATGTATAAGAAACAAAGACGACTTACATGTTTAAAGCAGTCTTATTGAATACTCAATACTTACACTTATAACTTTTTTGTATATTTGAGCAGGACCGGTACACTCTGAATAGGGATATTCAGATGTAGCCATCTCAAGCATACACATTCCAAATGCATAGACATCAACACTTTCATCATAATGTTCTTCATACATTTCTGGCGCCATAAATTCAGGAGTACCTGAAGCCAAGAAAAAAATTTGAGTTACAATTATTGAGGGACGCTACCAAAAACTCAATTGGTGAAGCAAATGGCACAAACCTATGACGGATTTTGCAAAGGATCTGTTTTTAAGAGTAGCAAGACCCAAATCACCAATCTTCACCGAGCCAGTAGTTCCAGTTATAAATATATTATCACATTTTAAGTCTCTGTGTATAATAGGAGGGCTCCGGCTATGGAGAAAACTAAGACCTTTCAGGATTTGGCGACACCAAGATTTGAGAACCTTTGGATTTATTTTCTTGAACCGGCGTAAATATCTGTATAGTGTGAAAGGTTGAGTAAATGGCATAATAAAAGAAGTTTAGAGGAAGCTATTTGACTTAAAACAATAACTTACGTCTTTAAAGTGCCTGAGGTCATCAGTTCGGTTACAAGAACAATATATTTTCTCTTGGTAAGAGTAACTTCCCAATAATCATAAAACCGGACAATATTAGGATGTTGAAGACCTTTCAGCATTTCTGCTTCTTCTCTGAACCGCAATCTTTCTGTTTTATTTAATTTCTTTTCCTGTTATGAAAAGCAAAGAAATATTTTATTAACGCTAAAGGAAGTGGAAATAAATACCAAAAAGGTCCCTGAATAATTTTAATTTTCATCCTATCTGTTTGAATGGACGAGGACTCTTACCTGCAATTCACACCAAGCCACGGCAACTCCTGTTTGTGTATCCAAGCCCCTGTAGACAGTTTTAAAACTGCCTCGACCAATTTCTTCTTCAAACTTAAGAAACCTGTCAAAAGATAAAAGGCTTGTTCAAGAGTTTGTTAACAAATGAACACGTAAAACTAACAGTGCTGAAAGACTGACCTGCCATCTGGAGAAACACCGATTGCTTTCTCTTCATCGTCATCTTCAGCCTGCCCTTCTGAAGCAGCAACAGAAACAGCTGCAGGCAAAACCTCTGGTTCCACCAAGAGCACATCTTCCACCTTAACTTCAGAATTGGCCAGGGCAAGGATGCCATCATCAACAACCTCTTCTCCGACTTGATCTACCAATGTAGAACCAGCAGGCCTGATGGTAACAGAAGCTTTGGCACTGCTTGCAAAGGGACAATCATCCATCGCGGTAGGAGTGCTGCAGCCGTCATCTTGTTCAGCTGATGTTGGCACTGGAGGTGTCTCACGAGTGCGAGTGAATCTGTGGGATGGAATGTTGGCATTTTTCTCTTCGCTGTGTGTCGATGTATTTGACACTGCTTCGGAGCGGCTCGGCGATGGGTGCTGCAGGCTGGAGCTGGAACGGGGTCGAGCACGCGAGCCACGCCGGGATCCCCCTCGGCTCACTGAGTTCGACACAGCGCCCTAAAAATAAATGAAAAAAGAAAATTGAATTGTTTAAATTATGAGCTGGTTTATTGAGAAGGAGTGTCACCCAGAAAGCGATGGTACCTTTGGTGAGTGTCCGAGGCCGGAATTACCGGTGCCCGTCGTGCCGAGTCCACTACAACTGCTGCAATTATTGTTGCGACTTTGAGTACCAGTCAGACGGCCAGCAGGAGAGACATGGGATGTCTGCGAACGACCCTTCCCAGGGACGGGCGAGCCATCCTGTCGAGAGCTGGAACAGAACCAAACCAGGAGTAATTATCAACAAAAGCCCACAAGAAATAATTGAAAAAAGGAAACTAAATTCAAATTTCAGTTTGAAACAAATTCGAGAATTTTTATTTGATTTGGAATGTTTGACACAACAGTCTCTCACAATGCTAATACTTTTAATCCCGATGAAGATTTTTCTCAACACAAATTACGTCTTGGGAAAATTTGGAAAAAGGGACTTCACTTTAGTAAGAAATTGCTAGAGAAGAATAGACACCTGAGTGAAGTCTTATCTTCTGTGTCTTGAAAGTGACACACAAGCACAACTTTCACAACCCCCAGATCCACCCATCATGGGAAGCAGACGCACAAAGAGACAGAATCCTAGACAGATGGGATACAAGAAGACAAGACAGGCGGACAGACAGATAGGCGGGGACGGACAGACACAAACGGACCGCCAGCTATTCACGCGGGTCCGGGCGGACGGACGGGCGGGCGGACGGGCGGACGGAAAAAGAGAGATAGACGGGAGGGAGATAGAGATAGACGGGCAGAACGCCAGGCCGCCAGCCGGTCGCCAGACTGCCGACCTGCCAGACTGCAGAAGCCAAGCAGACGGAGACGCGGACGGGCGGGCGAGCAGGCGAGCAGACAGAGAGGCGGGCTGGCGGCAGGCAGGCGGACAGACAGTTAGGCCGTCCCACCAATCAAGTGTTATCTGCACCACTTGACATGACTTGCTCACAATTTGACAAAATCCTTGCTCTGAAAAGCAGTTTAGGGAGATGGGATTAAGACAAAAGATGGTCAGTGACAGATGGCAAACAGAAAGAATTGAGGGATTCACAATGTGACAGTTTGCTGGGGAATTCCAATGGAGCCCCCTCACTGCCATGTTACAAACTAATATCAACCAAACACAAAAGTTACCACCCCTACTTGTTTTGGTGAGAAAAGAAGCGACCTCAACCCCTTGCATCTTATTACAATTTGTAGTTATGATGCTTTCTTTTTTTTTTTTTTTTTTTTGGGGGGGGGGGGAATTAAAGGGTTTATTAACATAAATGTAATTGAAAAGAAAGTAACTTGTAGAATAAACAGGGGGAAAATAGAAATGACAGACAGAAAGCAAATAAGCGAAGAAAAGCCTTTAAAAACATGGTGAGACAAAACACAGAGTCTTATTGCACCACACATAAACAAATTAGTTAAGCAATCAACTGTTAATTAATTTGTATGCACCCTAAACTTCCTTCTTAAAGGACAGATATGAGATTCCTTTTTTGTGATTCAAAACAGTAACACAAATTTACAAAATTTACTTTCAAAAAGATACTTGCTACATTTCTAACAAATGGGACTGAAGTTGTAGAAAATTTAAAAAATCACTATGCACATCAATAAAAATAATTTACAAACAAAATTTAACTTTCCTGATTGTCTTGTCCTTCATCGTAAGGTGAAATATTTACATTTCAAAAATTACATACAGGCATAATTCTGATGTGAAGTGCTTCTAAAATCGCAAAATAAGTGCAAAAATAGGGTATTGGCAGAAAATGTTCCCTTATAGGATAGGTACATACCCTTCATTTGCATCTCTGAATTTGTGTGGCGAACGAGACAAGCTTGATGAATGCTGTGCCAAAGAATCTCCCTGAACATTTCTTTTCTTGCTCAGTAGGGGACGGCCTGGTCTATTCACTCCACCTCCACCATCACTATCTTCATCTCCACCTGGAGTAGATCCTCTCCAATTACTACTGCGCCCACCACGTCGACTTTGAACGCTGCTATTATCAGTGATCACTGCAGTATTATTGCTTGATATCGCAGGGAGAATGTTGTTATTTCCACTTCTGCAGACACTTCGGTGGGTTTTGCTCATTGCACTCCCAGCACACAGCAGGCAACAAAACCTTATGCCTCAGTTCTGATTACAGCACAAATGGAAGTAAGACTCCATACTTAACACATTTAACCACAGCTTTCAAAGAGTCAAAGACTTTCATTGATGAGAAACATCAGAGGCCCATCAATGAGAAACCATTTTCTCTTCTCTCTTGCTGACAACTTTAGAGGGTGTAGTCGTCTTCTTGAGCAGATGAAGTTATCTTGATGTGTTGCTTCTTACACTGAAACATTACAGACAAATTTTGAATAAGAATTTCTACAGTAACGAAGTAAATGTCTTGTCACTTCTAAATAATTTGCAAATTTGTAGGCATAATACGACAATAATCATTCTGGATGTAACCCTTCACAAGCAAACAGAAGGAAAATTTGATGTAAATCAAAGAGGAACAAGATTTTTTAAGTTTCCTAGCGTCATTATATTTATATATTTTAAAGTAAGGTTGTCAAACAGAACATGATACAGTGGCAAGAGTAATGTCCTTGAATCATACAGCTTGTATTAATACTCAAATTAAGATGATTATAACAAGGAACAACTAAACAAAACTACGAAGGGTATCAAAGCGACAAATAGACTGTGAATCTACACAAAATAAACATGATTTGAAAGAAACAATAATCTTAAGACGACCCTAACCTCAAAAAGGTGAACTGTCACAGGCAAGCACAATGATGTTCAGATACTCTGGTATCACAAAACCAAGCGAACTAGTGAACGATAACATTGTGAGAAAGAGAGGACTCAAACTAATGCAGTTCACCACCTCAGACAAGGCCTCTCCGCCGCAGGCATTGCTTTTCCAGCGCACTCCAGGACAAGGGCGCTCCCGATGTACGTTTTATCATTGACCCAAAACAACTTCGGAAATAGTTTCAACTCATTGATTCGGTACAAAACGTACTTTTAATGCACAATCAGAGTGCAAGCCATCCGTCAATTGATTTAGCACTTTGAAATAAATGTCCAGCTCGATCTGAAGATCGGAGTAGCCCCAACCCCTCAGAATCCCATTTATACTGATTTTGTAGAGAGAGCGCCCTATAACACATATGTGCCCGGCATTGATTACCGCCTGACTAAGGGAATCGAACAAAACTAATAAATGACGACATCTCTACCAGCGGAAACTCACGTTTAATAATTCATATAACAGCAAAATTCAGCCCGAAATTTTCAGGCGCACATAACCACTACTGCCTCCATCTGTCGGCAACTTTCCAAAACAGCAGCGCAGATGACACTCGAAAAAAAAGTACATTATATGTGTTTATTCTATTGTTTACGGTGTCAATGACAGATTCGCCTTTTATTCGAAGTGAAAATAACTTAAATCAGCATAACAATTGTAAGGAATTATTCCTGACAAGTTTTACGAGGAGTTGAGAGTTCTGTCCCTTGCAAAGTTTCAATAAGCCCTTTGCGTCGTCTGCTTTCGACTCACCGACTGGACTCCGGGGCAGGTTATAGAAATTCGCCGAGTATTTGTTATTATATTTTGATCCGAAAGCGATGGCATCTTTGAGATATGTGGCTGGTCAATCTAAAATCGACGCATTGTGGAAGCAAGTTTTGGACACTTTCAAATGGACACAGGCTGGAACAGTGCACTATGATGAGGAGAAATTTGCTTCTATGAAACGTCAAGTGGATAATCTCACAGCAGAAGACATTTCTCTTGAAGACTCATTGGCAGAAATGAGGTTGCATGAAGGCTTCAAGAATGAGGAGGCCGTAGGAAGCATTCAGATCTGCAACAGTGATGTCGCCACTATGCAAGTGTTTGTCTTACACAAAGATCAACACATGCCGATTCATGACCACCCCAACATGATCGGCATCCTTAAAGTGATAAAAGGATGTGTTCGAGTAAATAGCTACACTCTGATAGGGAATGGGTCTCAGAAACCTGGATGTGCAATAGTTACCACGAAAAAGCAGACTGTGGAGGTGTGTAAGGGGGATCCTGCGTGCGTCCTTACGCCCAGTGAGCGCAACTACCATTCAATTGTTGCGTTGAATGGAGAAGCTGCTTTTCTTGATGTTTTATCTCCCCCTTACTTCACAAACATGCCTGGGCATGAACTAAACGTGTGTAATTACTACAAAGAAGTTAATGAAACTGAAGGGTTCAATGGCGGCGATGTTGTTCGGCTTCAGACAATACCTCCTCCTGAAGATTATTGGACCGTTAAAGGTAACTACAGAGGCCCAGAAGTGCAGCGGTTTAGTCCATCTCATAGGAATTCTCTCCAATAATTATTAGTTGTTACAGAATGTTCGTAGCTCGTTGAAGTTGAAGATGACTGTCTGGGCAATATGATTTTTATGTTTCTGTACTCACACAAACTGATAAAAAAATTCCCAGCCTTTAGTTGCAGTGTATTACTAAGCTAATTAGATTTTAGCTTCATAATGTGGTAATCAAACCAACAAAATTAAGATTTTAAACTTTGAAATGAAGCACCATCTCTGTATGTTCTTTACATCACGTACTAGTAGACTAAGTTATTGTGTATTCTAGCAATACAAGTGATATTGGCTATAATGTTTAACATGTGCGTGTCTTGTTGACTATTGCGTATTGTAGTTTAGCTCTGAAGCCCTTACCTTTTTTTATGAACAGAAAAAAATTCTAATCTTTAACTAATTGTCAAACAGTATTCAATTTATTGTGTCCTACTTTTTAGTTTAATAAAAAAATCTTTAAATACAGTAGATTGTTCTTTTGATTTTCTTTTCTGCAATATGGTAGAGCTTAGTAGTAAGTTGAAGATGTGTCATGTTAAATTCAACAGAGAAGAAATTGTGTGATCATCTGACATAACAGTGTATCTACTATGGGTTCCCCATATGACTTACATTGTTACATCCGATGTCCACATTTGATCAGGAGAGAGCTGGGAAAATGGCAGTGAAACATCAAGAACAAGTAATTCAAATTTATTGTTAAACATCTGAAAGTGTTTTAACAGACTTACATTTATACAAAACGGGATGATATTTAACAAACAGCACGAGCATTTTCTTAGAAGAGTAATAAGAAGTCTCATCTCTAACAATTATCAAATCCAGAAAAGAAGAACAAAGCTCATAGCAGTCAAAGCAGATGCATAAGTGAAAAGTAAAAGGGGAAAAAATTCAATAGGACTGAAGTGTTAGGAGAGTGTAACAATACTCAAAGAAATAAGTTAAGAACACATAAGTAATATATCATAACAGCCAATGAAAAAATATACAAATATGTATGTATAAATATAAATTTAATTCCTTTTCATAAAGGTCATCTTCATATGAAGTCAAAAGATGACAGTCTGTGCCTAGTAGGGTAGAAAGCAAAACCACAAAGGTAAGGAGAAATTGAGAAGAATAAAATACTGACAGTTCGAATGGGCAGGTGGAACCCAGGAGAGGATCGCAACTGTAAATGGAGCTAAAATATATTCGGTCATTGTTAGCAAAACATTAAGTAGACATGCAAGAAATGCCTTAGGTGACGTCTCATGGTAAAAATACCAGTTCATTTAATGGTAACACTGGCATAAAATATCCATGGTGCACTTTGAAGATGGGGGGAAAAACTACTTAGTGCTCCCAAAACAATTTTTAAATGTTACTTAACTATCAGGAGATGGTTGTTTGAAGCTTTCAACATTTTGGTACAAAATTATATTTGTCAAACTTAAATAAATCTTTCTCCATAATTAATCTTTGGTTAAATCATAGCATAATGGAACCATAAAAAAATAGTTTCATTGATTATCAAAACAAGAAAGAAAGGGAGTAACTCTGGAGAGATTTAAATTAATGTTGAAAACTGATGCCTGAAAGCCTGACTTTAGGATATCATTGAAACTGAAAATCCACCAATGCACACACGCACACACACACACTTTTACAAGAATCAAATTGTATTGAGATGATGCTAGCTCATTATTGTGCAATAGTAATGCATTTAATCTGTCTTGAACACTATCCACAAACTTGGGCATGCAAAACAGAAAATATTTCTGCACTACTAATAATTTTATTAAAAGTATACCACAGTTGGATTAGTCCATGAAGGAGCCCCCTCATCAGCTGCCTAACTTCGAAGTGCGGAGAGCCGTTCTTTCATCTCTTCTAAATCTTCTTCCTCATCACTTTCCAGACCAGCTGATGAGGGCCCAGCTTCATCCGTGAGAGATGCTTCAGGATTTGTGGATGGCAACGAATCTGTGACAGCTGATGGGGCTTTACCAAGTTCACCTTGAGTCAGCTCCCACAGCACCTAAAGGAAAATTAAAAGTATTCTGTGAAAAGTGATCCAAGGTATTGCATAAAAAATTGAAGATGCCAGTGATGTAATTTACCTTATCAATTTCAGTCTGTGCTTCCTCTTCCATTTCTTCAGTGTCTTCCATGTCTTCCATGGTTTCATCCAGCATTTCTTCAATAATACCAGCCTGAAATATAGATATGTTATTTGTACTTCAACAATTGAAAAGGGTCTGTTTGCAAGTCATTTACACCCCTTGAGGAGAGGAACAAGACACTTACCCTCATCATTTCTTTTGACAGCTCCCTCATAGTGGCGGCAACTTCAGGAACACGAACCAATGTTTGCATCGCATTCATCACCTCTGTTGATTTCTTCAAAGAGCCAGCAACCCTTAAAGTTGCTGCAAGTCCCATTGAATTAGAAATGGTAGCTCTCAGAAGTGTAAATATATGACAAATAGTAAATTTTCATAAAAGTTTGTTTACCAAGTTGATTTTTCATCTGCATCTGTACTGAGCTAATGTGCGTTTTGCTGGTGTAGATTTTATTTATGGCTTTGCGTGCATGTACAACGTCCTTGGCCAAGATAACACACACATCTTTTTCACCCTTCTTTGCTGCCTCTTTCAATGACTTTTTCAATTTATCTTCTTCTCGCTGAATTGCTGGAAAAGATGGTGTAGATGAGAATCAGACTCGTAATATTATAATGGGATAAATCACAGAAAACATTACCGGCAGCTCACCTCTTATCTGGCGCTCCAGTTGGCTGCTTTCTTTCCTCAATTTCCTACACCATTCATTAACCTGAAGTGAAAACAGTGAGACATAAGACCAATTTAGAAAAGTGAATGAATAGGTTTTTGAGGAAAGCACACCTGACAGCTACTCAAAATAAACAAATGGGATGAACTGTCAAAACAAGTACTCAATGTAGCACTTATTCATAGGCTTCACGACAGATTGAAGTAAATAGATACATTACTAATTTAGAAAATATAGTTGACATCGTAGGAAGAGAAGTGTTTGTCTTCTCCATTGATATGACAAATATTCCAAAATAATAAAAGGCAAAGGGTTAGGGTGAGGCCCCAAGATGGTGTTATCTAAAAGATTGTGAAACTGTTAGACACTCAAAATATTCGAAAGGCGTTTAAAAATGTAATGTTGTTGGGTAAAGTACCTGCTCCTTCGGGTTCCTTTCAGGTGTTTTGCCAAACAGGCCCATAATTGTGTGGTTGAGAATAAACTAGCCTATTTTGTTTTGACAATCAATTTGACACCCGATGAAAATTTTGGAAGAAGTTGTGCCTACGTTCTTGGTTCTATGAGAAATTACGAGCACTAAATAGTTCGTTTCGTCTGCTAGTGTCCCAGAATGCCATGCGCAACTGTTTTGTTTTGTTGGTGTGGTTGTGGTTGATTTCGTGGGTTGATAGAAACTAGACAGAATTGACTCGATCATTCACCCAAAGATTTGGCCTATTAATAATGGATATAGGAACTACTCTGCTCGCTGCTTCGAATCTTTTGAGTCGTATTGGACGAAGCGTTTAACAGTTCAGAACAATGCCGTCTCTGAGGAAAAAGGTGTCGAGCTTTATCCGTCAGCTGTCTGTGGCGAACCAACAAAGAGAAAACTCGTTGGGAGATGGAAGAAGCCCTCGAAATTCAGCGGATTCTCAGAATGGGTGTTTCATTCAACGGTATCTCAGCGGGTAAGTTTCGTCGGTGCCAAGCCGTGATCTGACTTCAGCTACGTATGTCAGAGGTTAGGGTATCTTCCCATGTATGATTGCCTGAAGAACTTTGCATTCAGTTTGTGGTTGGATTTACAGTTTTCTAAATTTAAAATTTGTTACAAACTAAAAATTTTGGCTTTGCTCTTTTCTCTTATTTTTTTTAGACAAGATGTACGACGCATGGCACCTACTATATTGCATGGGCGCAACCCTCATGAGCTTCCACCGAAGGCTTTGGGAGAGCCAGACGGTGGACCAGAATCTATTGTTGCTGCCCTGACTGGACCAGACGGAGGCTTAACGACCGTAAATCGCAAACAACGGCATATTACCACAAGTGACCCGGATGTGGATTTCATTGACATCTTGGACCAGGGAGAGAATGATAAACCGCCAGGTGAGATCTTGTTGTACTGCTTCTCTTATTCTCCTACTACGTCATCAAAACTATCTCCTGAGAGTTTTCAACTTCTCTTACTTAATTCTTGCATTATTCCTACCATCGTGTCAACCCTTTTTCATTCATTGGCTACTGTAAGCAGTATTGTGTGTTTGAATGCAGTAAGCTTTGAATGCCCCCTCCCCCTTAATGTTAAAACAATTTTGTAAATTTTTTTCTGAGGTAGGAGGCAACCAGTGTCGGAAAAGTATATGTGCCCATTGTATAAGTGAAAATTTTAATATTCAACAGTGGCTTCATCTGAATGTGTCTTCAGCCCTGGCTATGGCCGGTGGTTCAGTGTAAGATCTTCGGACTCTCCAATCAACAATTCAGTGATAAAAATACGAGCTGCAGGTTCTGTGTTTACTATTGGAACAAAATCTGTCCACACAAGTATGACAGACCTTCATTTGTCAGAGTCAGAAGAAAAACAGTCAAACTATCACAAGCCTGACACCCCCATGAATGATTCTGGTACTCAGAATGTCAAATTGGAGACAAAGGCTTCCACTTTAAAGGAAAAAAGAGTGCATCTCTTAGACAACACTAAAGAACTCACAGTTGAAGAAAAACCTAGTGCAAATTTGTCTAAAGAAGACAAGAACAATCAAAATAAAACAATAATTCTTGGATCCACCAGTATGGAAGACTCAGGTATTGACTGCTCTCCTGTGACAGAGGAATACCTGATTCCACCACCTGCAGACTTTGCAGGAACTCTAAGCCGCGAAGATTCGCAAGAAGAAGGATTTCTACCAATACGAAAATCCAAGAGTGCTCCAAATCCTTTTAAAAAAGCTAGGGCTAACAGGAAAAATGGCCAGGAACTGTCAAATGATGTTAGAAGAGCCACTTGTGGTAAGTTGGCCAGTGCATGAAGCTCAAAGGAGGAAAATGTAGATAAAAAATCTTTTTGAACTACAAAATTTTTTGCATGTTTGTTTTGCTTTGTATGTATGAAGTATGCACTAGAGTATGCACTTTTGTAAGTTTGCAATTTATTGAGCACATTTTTTTTTTTTTTAAATTTATATAGCACTGTCATGAGTCTGTGCAGTAGCAAACCATACTGAATAAGCAATGCTGAGGGGTTGAGATTTTTTATTTTGATCATGTATTATATTCATCTTTTTAAAAAAATTATTTGAAGCATGTGAGCTATTTATTGTGGGTTTAGTTAAGTTACATTGTTGCTGCACAAGAAAACTTGACCACCTTGATTGTTACTTTTAAATTGCATGGCACTTCATAGTATTAAAAACTTTCATTGTACTGTATTTATGTTTGTGCACCTGAACAACCTTGAAGCTTTACCATTAATATGTATCATGTGAAGTAATTAGTTTGTTAAGCACTTGATTAGAATCTGTCCAGGAGTAGAGCACAGAGGGCAGGTGCTCTTTTATTTGGAATATTGGATAATTCTTTGTTTGCATGAACTATCTGGGAATGATTTGAACATTTGATTAATTCCCCTATGCAATGAAACTATAGGAAGTGTCCCATATTGTATTTAATGTTAATGAATGATTGTGTTCTTTGTTCCTTAGAGAACTGATACTATTGGTGAATGGAAAGAACTCAACCAAATTTAATTTGATGTTTCTCTTTTTCCAGAGGAGGGCACTGCCACAAGCGAAACGCCAAGCTCGTTTGTTAAAGTAGAAGAAGTTGCTGGAGTCCGAGACTGGACTCAACCACATCGCGGGGCTTACGGTGCAGCTACTACCTTGTATGAGCTGCACCCACTGTCAGGCATAAATGCAGGCAACCCTATTGCTGATTGTTTTGCTGTTGTTGCAAGAAAAGATTCAGCTGTTTTAGCTCTTGCTGACGGCGTAAATTGGGGTCAGAAGGCTTGTGTTGCAGCTCGCTCAGCTGTACATGGCTGTGTGGAGTATCTGAACAAGGCAGTTTTCAGCAATGCAACACCCTCCAAACCTACTAATACGACTGTATGTTTCCCGTGTTCAACTTAAAACACAACTTAAGATGAGAAGTGCTGTATTTTCATACTGCTGGACATATTTTGTTTCAGGAGGTATTTGTTGCTCTGTTCCGCTCGTTCCATGCTGCACATAGCCTAATACTTCAAGAGGAGGGTATGTTGACCACCCTCACAGCTGCTCTTGTTCTTCCGCTAGCTGCCCCTGGTCGATACGTGGCCTGTGTGTGCAATGTAGGTGATAGTCTGGCTTATGTTTACAACCCTCAACATGGTGTACGAGAAATAACTCAAGGTAACAAGGTTATTTTTGGTCATCTTATTAATTCACCTTGTTGCTTCTGTTAACATTATTAATTGTACTTTATCTTCTCTCCTCTCTTCTTCAGGCTCTCATGATATTCATCTTATGCGTGACATGAGGGATGCCCTGGGTGCTCTTGGCCCTGTTGCTGGAAGTAACCCTGAGCTGAATAATTTGACATGTTCAATGACTGAAGTACAAGAGGGTGACATTGTATTCTTGACATCAGATGGTATTTCTGATAATTTTGACCCAGTTGTTGGTAAATTTGCTGTCCTTCCTCCTGATGATGACAAGAATGATAGTCGAACTGCAGTCCCTTCCAATTCAAAACATGCACAACGTGGGATACGCCCTAGGACATCAAGTGCTGGCCATTCGTCTAAAAGCCATACTCGGGGAACTCCAGCTTTAAATTCTGAGGGCCTGCCAACTGTCCAAGCCTATCAGCGCCATGAGTTAACTCTTTTGCGTATGGAAGACCTACTGAAGCTTGGAGTCTCAGGACAGGGACCCCCTATTCAGGATGCTCGAGAACTTTGTGACTTGCTGTTGGACTTTGCAACACGAATTACAGCAGCCAAACGTCACATTTTGGAGGACCTAGAGTTATACTGCAGTATTGGTGAAAATAATACTGTACAGGAACTCAGCAAAATGGAGCAGCGTGCACGCCGAAGGAAAATCTGTGATAAATTATCCATGGTGCCTGGTAAGCTAGACCATGCCACTGTAGTAGCTTACCAAGTTGGTGCATGTAGCTCTCTTGCTACTGAGAATAAGAACATTCCCTCTTTGCAAGAGACAGGGCTTTAGCTGTTAAACAAATTAGGATTTTAGAGAATTTCTTGAATTTCAACCTTCCTCTGATTCTTGGTAGGTCTAAGTCTTATTTCTTGTGAAACTGATTTTGATACCATCAAACAGTCCATATTTATTTATTCAAGTTTTATTAATTTTAGGTGTATTTTATTTGGCAGGCTCTCAACAGTTATTGAGGCTTCTGTCTGGCTTGACAAGAGCTATAAAAGTTACTTTTTGTTATTGTTAGTTCAAGCATAATGATATTCTAATCACTGGCTACAGGGAAATTATTTTGTTTAGAGAATAAAATTTTTATTTATTACATAATTATATGTAGATAGTATATTTTACAAATATTAGTTGACTCCAAGATACTCTGTCCTCTAACATCACATAACTTATAATCTGAAAGATAACTGTTAATTCCATTGTCCCTTGACCGGTTTCACTATCAGTCATCTTGGCTGTGATATCTTCCAGAAGTAATTTTGATCCAGATTTGCTCTACGAGCGTTCACTGTATCACCATTTGTATTCTGTTGTTGTGGTTCATTTTGAAATATGATTTATGGTAGAAGAAATGCAATCTGTCTCTATCGTTCTTGTTATGTTTACAATTTAGAAAAAGCAATTTTATTGCTTCTTTTATTTTTTTGGTTTTAGCTGGAAATATTATGTCATAGTTAGTTCTTACATTCCCATTATTTGTTATGTTTCTCATGGTTCTACTTTCTGTTCATTTTCATTGGTTGAAGTAAAATTTTTCCATTCCAAAGACAGTTTAATTCCAACTCATTATCATAGTTAATCTTTTGATCTTCATATTTTGTTATGAAAGATATACCTATTTATTATAAGAGTATGACAGTGACTCATGGAAGTGTCCTATTTTTGGAAAGTTTTGCACCTCTTGATAAAGGAATTGTTGTAAAGGCCTGAATTGCACAGGATTTAGTGTAAAGTTAAAAACAGTTTGTTCATTACTGCGAGTGACTTTGAGAGCACTATTTTATGGGAGACATACTCAAAGAAAGAGGATGGAAATGTTTGAATGAGAGCTGAGGAGGTGTTAAAAATGGGTTGCTTTGTGCACGCTCTTATTTTCTCTCTTTGAATGGGAACCACATTTTTCTTGTATTCAGAAGTACTGTATTAGTATTAGAGAAGTACATATCCTTATGTACATTGAGGTGCCTAGCTATAGCCAAGCTTGATTGATTATAAAACTGCTACTGCTATTCTAACTCTTTGGTACTTCATTCAATTGCAAACAATTTAAATCTTTACCATTTATCAAAGGCCTCACTACATATAATCCTCTTGTTGCTTAGTGACCAAAAATTTACAAAGAACTTCTCATTTTCTTCATGAGATTTTTGGACATCAGAGTCCTTATTCCATTTAAGCCTAGATCTATAAATGCCATTTGTTTTGATTTTTTGTAAAACTCAGCATAAAAAGTGTATGAGTGCATCATCAAAAAATTGTGATGTTTCTGACATAGAAGTGTTCTATCTTTCATGTCAATGTGATACGTTATGTCTACAATGGACCACCTAGTTAAGTATGTCTCATTTCTCAAAGAATGCGTGTCAGGTATTGTGCCATGATAGCATAGATCAGCTTTGGTGGCCATGAGGAGAAAACCCCGTTTATAAGGACCAGTATCTTAGATAAGCGCTTTGCCCAAGAAATAAGTATTTTCTTAAAGTCTTTATGAGTGTCATTCGAATTCTCTCGGATCAATGTCCCTCACAGAATAAGTGTCTTATTTTGAATTACCTTCTCTCTGACAGACTCTTCAAATATTTTTGATTGTTAGGAAAATACAAATGTACTTGGGTCCCTTCTGCTTAGCCCTAGATTTGTATGTGTCTGAGGCCTCAAGAAAATTTATGGTGATGTGGATGTGTCATGGCTTGACTTTTGCATAAAACTTTCAGGCGATTTGTGATTGCTCATGTCATTCTTGATTTAGACTCGAGTAAGATATCGCAGTTGTTTATCTTGCTTACCACTTGCTGCCTTTATAGTGAAGATGGTATACACTGCTAATTGTGTTCCTCTGAAGTAGTCCAAGGATATTTTTCATGCTATTTACTTGTTAATTCTACTTTTACTTGCATTTATTGCTTCCCATCTCCTGTATGATTTTGATTGGCAATGGAAAAACACAATACTCAGTGTGTGCCAAATGCATTTTTGTTTTGTATTAAGTGCCCAATGTGCTCATGATGGTATTTGCGGATGTCTACTGCATACATGAATTAATTCCATTGATCAGGTTTAAATCAGCACAATTGTTATTTATTAAAAATATTCCTGTTTAATGTTTAGCATTTAATTAAAACCGGATTTGTTACAGTTATTGTAAGCACAGTATGACCTTGCTAAACCAGTATTTATCAGTTGATCTATGAAATATAAGTGTACTGTGTAAGCCAACTTAAATGCAATAAAACATTTGCGCTTTAAGCATGCCTCATTGATTTCCCTTAAAGAAAACTAATGAGATCAACTTTTTCGACATCCCTCACAATGTGAGACATTACTAGTGGCGAGTTAGACAAGAAGAAGAAAATCACAAAGATACATTTCTACAACACAAATGGGTTGGAAAACATTCACCCCACAAGCCATAGCTCAATGAGCTATTGTGGTGAGCGGCTCGGCCCTAATATTAGCTAGGTTTAATTGAGAATCAATATCTTCGTCCATTTCCCCGACAACCGCTCTGCAACACATATAATCATACCTAAAACATTGTATCAAAGGAACGGCACAATTTAATAAACTCGATACTTACACATTATCTCCACGAATGATGTGTAAACCCAAAACAACTTGTTCCACACCAGTGGTGGTGCTGTAAACTCTTTCATGGGATTCTTCAAGTATTAAATTAATCGTTTGATCAAACCCTTTCAAAGTGCCCTGAAACAAATAAAAACATGACTGTGGAACTTGACAAAAGTGCATGACATGAAAGATGAAAGAGGCTCACTTACAATAAAATTTCGCCCATCGGCAGTAATTATAGAAACAGTATCTAATGATCGTTAAGGATATCATTGGAAAAGAACACTTCGTTCATGATAAAGCTAAACGAAGTCTTTTCGTAACTCACAAGGAACTTAACCCTAAATTGAGGGATCGGTCTCCAGAACGCAAAGTAAAAGGATACGGTTGACGTAGCTTTCCAGACCAGAGGCCATCGTAGGAATTCCTAGCCGAGTACAACCGACGGACAATGTCTTACTGAAAATAAAGTCACTTTTTATTTGTTGACAAGCCGACAACAAGAACTTGGCCGAAAATAATCCGGGTTGTCATACGACTGCCGAGTTTGTCATACGCGGTATGTTTTGAAAAGTCAGAGCTGCCAACCCCGTCACCTCATGCTGAGGCGGGAAAATTCGAAACGACGCGCGCTGCGGTTCGCTACGGCGAAGACGCGATCCGGTCGGCAGCGGAAAACTACTGGGCGCGTCCTCGTGGCGTGGCGTGGCGTGGCGTGGCGCCGGCCGAACGAAGGGAGGGACCGGCAACCGGTCAGTCGAAAAGTGGGGAAGGAAGTAGCGACACTTGACGGGAGTGCAGGCAGGGTGCAAGGTGCAAGGCGAGGGCGGGTCGGGCGCAGGATCAAAGCAACGGGCAATGAATCAAAAGATGTTTTGGCGCGGCCGTCTTGTTTTCGAGCAGCCGGCCTGCCCCGCACACACGGTGCGCGCACCGCGGTGTTGCGGTGTAGCCCACGGAATGCCAGTAGTTACCGATGCCAGGCCGGCCAGGCCGAGGCTGCAGCCCGAAAACAACGCCAGGCCCTCTTGTACATCGCGGCATCGCGGCCGGGCCGCCCCAACCATCCCAACGTCCGCCGAGAAGCGGCCTGTGTGAGTCATTCCCCGGTCTATTTCTGCCCCGCGCCGCGCCGCGCCGTGCCCGCGGTTCGCGGTGTCGGCCGGCGAGGCCCGCAGGAGGACCCACCAGCAGACTGATTCCGAGAGCCGTTTTCGTCGCTCGTCGCTCTGTCGCTCTCATGGGGCGTCCTGAAGAGGTGCGAGAGAGCGGCGAAAACGACTCTCGGAATCAGTCGACAGGACCCACCCTACTCGCGGGGCAGAGCACTGCCTCCTCTCGCCCTCTCCTCCCCTTACGTGCATGCCCGTAACGGCGAGGTAAATCTCTCAAAGTTGTTGTTCGCGCTGCACGGCGTCGCGCGGGAAGCTGTCAGTTCCACAAGTTGCGCAACCTTGTTGTGTCCAGTGTCGGGACCGCGGGGTGCGTTAAAGCTGGGGAGGGAGGGGGAGGCATGGCGTAGTCGGGGGCGGCGAGAGACTCTATCGACGGGGTACTGACGTCGGCTACCTCGGGCGTTACGGCGAGCTTAAGCAATGCTTCCGCGCACCTGCACTGCACCCAGCTGTCGCCCACTGTCGCCCCGTGAGCGACGAGCACGGCAACAAAATTGTCAGAATCTCGGCGGTCATCCGCTAGGAACTGCGAGGAACGTCAACAATCATCATGTCGAAATCTGCGACGGCCGGCCGCTACCTGCGGGCCTGCGGGAGGGGGCAGGGCAATTATTTTGGGATTGCTTCCGAGCTGCGCGAGAGCATGAAGCTCGCTGAAGTTCGCTGAAGGATGGGGAGGGGGGAGGAAATTTCCTTCCCGTCATTCAAGATATTGGGCGACCGCCGCGCCCTGGGGTCCATGGTCCCGGTTGACACGCTGCCAGGTTCAATCGCCCTGAAGCCCAACGCGGATTGTGGAATGAACCTAGAACGCCACACGAAAAGATTCCCTAGTCCACTGCCACCACGGTCCCTACGCCGTGACTGCCACAGACATTGGTCTCGGTCTCAGCATCCCTGACAGAAAAATGTAGGAGAGGGCAGGGGAGGATACGTTTTGTCTCTCAGACGAATCTAATTTCTTTGCCTTATTTCCGATTCAGGCAAACGTTATCTCAGAGCCGCCGTGCCGCCTCGCCCTCGTGATCCGTCCAAGGCCCCCGCCCCGCACCGTTGGAACATTGTCAAGAGTTGTGGCAGGTAAAGACCATGGTGTTGGCAGACGCCGCGACGCCGCCGCCGCGCGGCCCGGCCGGGGCTTGGCCGGGCTCCTCTCTGCAGCCGTCACGGCAAAAGCCCGGCAAGCCGACGGCAAGCCGGGTGTCAGAGATCCGTTCGCGTTTCGCGTCACGCGACGTGACCCCAGCAGGCTGATTCCGAGAGTCGTTTTCGTCGCTCTGTCCCTCTCGTACTCAACCGTAGGTGCGAGAGAGAGAACGCGACGAAAACGACTCTCGGAATCAGTCTGCCGACTGAAATTCGGGTCGTTGCCGCGCCCAGCCACGCCCGTAAGCGACGCGTGCCGTTGCCGTGGCGTCGCCGCGGCGACGAGCAGAGCAGGACCCGCGGGACCCGCGATCCGCAGGACTCGGAGGAGGCTGAGGCGCGTCTCAACGACACGCAATGGGCCACCTTGGAGGCGAGTTGTGTAAGCACTCGCAGCTTGGCAAGGCGCGCGCTCACAACAATTGGGGATTCTCTCGTTTCAGACGAGCCAGCGAGCTAACGGCAGGTGACCTCTCGGATAGCTAATTAAGCAGCAGCTCGTGGTTTAGGCATTCCCTGGTCTCGGTAGTCACTTTCCTCGACCGAGGCGGAGGGCGAACCAAGGCAGGCAGCGCGACGCAGCAATCAATCCCAGGAGCAAGCAATCTGGCGAAAGCGGTCGGGATCAAAGCCGCGGGCAAAACGGCAAGGCAGAGCGGGCAGAGCGGGCAAAGCCCAAACTCGAAACAGCTGATCCGGCCAGTCCGAGTGCGACCGTGCGAGCGTGGAGGTTGGCAGCACGGGTTGCGGCTGCGGGGCTGCGGCGACGGCAGCGCGCTCTGTGGGAACGCGGCCGAAGCTCTGGCCCTGCCCCGGCCCGCCCCGCGCCCCGCGCCTGTCTGCTGCTGTCTGTCGGACTCGCGACTCGCGGCACGGCTCGCGCTCGCGCCCCGCGTCCGCCTCGGCAGTGCTTCTGCCCTGCCTCCAACATTCCCGTGCCGTTGCCGTGCCGTTGCCGTGCAGCCCAATGCCTGCGCTACGCTAGCTACGCGCTACGCCCGTTGTCGCGTCCTGCGCGGTGCTATGCAAACGCCGTCCAGTGCCAAAGACTGTGCTGCCCCCGCGGTTAGCCTGGCGGGTCGGGCTTTATATCCTGGCCACAGTGCCCCACTGTGTGTGTGCGTGTGTTAGTGTCGAGCTCTGCTGCGAGCGAAGCAGGGCGAGTGAGCTGCACGGACGTGCAGGATGCCCGAGTGAAGTGCAGTGTCCCTGATCTGGACGCCATCAGCTGATCGTCGCGGGACAGGCCGCCCAGGTCGGTGCTCAGGGCGCAGCAGCGCAGCAGTCCTCTTGACAAACATAACCTCTCCGCGGGGCCCCTTCGCGGTGCTGCGGGCCCCTTGGCGGCGGGGCGGGCGGCTGGGGCGGCTGCAAAGCCTAGTCGAGTCTGGACCGACCTGCTAAGCCGCTCCGTCTGCAGCGCGGAGGCCGAGGGCTCAGCGAAGCGCTCGCCTCCCAGGGAGGAGAGGTTAGGATCCTCGAAGGCTGTCCTGCGCACGGCCCGCCTCCACGGCCCGCCTCCGCCGCCCAGCCAGCCAGCAAGGCAGCCTCTCCGCCCGTCTGTCCGTCGGGCTACCCGCCTGGCTACCTGTCCTGCTACCCGTCCCTCGCGCCCTGTCAGCCAGTGACACAGTGTCAGTGACATGGGACAGGATCGCCCCCTTGTCCTTGTCGTGTTACCCACGGTGTTAACATGTTAACGGCTCGGTTTGGTACTTGTTACCAGTCAGCTGTGTGTCCTTTAAGTGCCTCAGGTCTTGAATTGTTTAGGGTGGCCGCCTTGCACCTCGTGGTGCCACAGGACTGGCATGGCCCTTGTGGCACGACTGTCAAGGCGAGTTTTCGGGGTCGCGGAGCTTATCAGTTAACTTCCGCCTGCATTTTGGGCCCTTCTCTCGAGGCAAGGCGACGGGAAGGTGGTGACAGCACCTCACGGCACCTTGGTGGAGCGAGCAGACGACAGCAGCCGCCGTCTGAATCCCTTAAGGACCGCACCACAGGGACCACAGGCCACCGACTGCAGTGCTAAGTGCTGCCCAGTCGGCCGGCCCAAACAACAACGACCTTTAAACGTTGTTGTTGTCGCTGATGCTGTTGTTGCTTGCCACTCTCCACAAATCATCGCCTTTCCGGAGGACTTGGCGTGGGGCTTCCCGGGACTCCCTGTTGACAACAACCCTCTCTCCCTCTTGCCCCGGGGGGCGGGGCGTGGCGGGCGTGGCGGGGCGTTGCGCGTCGATGATGATGGCGTTGCATCGCCTCGAACACACCGCACGCCGCGCGGCGTTATCGAGAACGCGAACGTCACAACTCTGGCCGCGGCGCGCGCAGCGTCACTGCAAGTGCAAGCGTGCAGGCGTCAAAGAGTTCCGCAATATCGTCTGCTCGCTTCGCGGATCTTGGTGGAGCTTGGCGGAGCTGCTCACGTGGACCGTCCGGCCGCCTTGCCTGCGGACATGTCCGCCCCGCCTCCATCGCCATGGATCTTGGAACGCGGTGCGGCGAGTACGTGTCCGACATTTTCGACTCGAGGGGGGGGGGGCGCCACTTACACTTTCAAGACCTCTTTCCCCGCCTCGGCCGCCGCGGCCGCCTCGGGCCCTGCCTTGTTGTCGGCAGGCACGCCGCACGCCAGGACGGGGTGACTTTCGCTAATCCGGACTCTCCTGCTGGGCGGACGTGGCGGGCGGACACGCCGCCGACACGTGGCTCAGGTCCGAATTCGGCGTCCGGTCGCGCCGTCGGCGGGACCAGTGTTTCTCTCTCTCACCCCGACGGAGAGTGCGTTAGAGTGAGAGGCAGGGCGTTGGGATGCGGGGCGCTGCGCTTTGGCGCTGCCACGCCGGTACGCGGCGGGCAAGGCGGGCAAGGTCGCGGCTAGAGCGGGGAAGGGGGAAGGGGGAGCATCCATGACGGCGAGGTGCTGGCTCCAACGAGTCTCCCGTCTCCACTCCGGTGTACAGTGCCCCGCCGCGCCCCGCCCCGCCCCGCCCGCGGTGACGCACGGCCTGCACAGTGTGTCGGGGAAGGAAGGGTTGTGGCGGTGCTTCCGTGACCTTGGGCCGGATGCACCGCCAGTGTGTTTTTGTTGTTTTTCCTACCCCCGGGTCCTGGCTGGTCCTAGCTGGCTTCGGTCGAGTCGAGGCGCTCCAGGGCGTGGCCGGCGTGGCCGCTTTGGCGGTAATTACCCCCACTCTGGACAAGGCTGGCTGGCCTCGGCGTCCTCGTCGTCGCCCCCGTCCTCGCGGTGTCCGTCGGCGCCCTCATCGCCCGCTTAGGCTGACTCGCGGCGAACAGCGGTCTCCCTCGCACTCATCGGGCGTCCCGCAGGCCTTTGGGGGCGAGAGAGAGACGGGGCGACCAGACCAGGCTGCAGGGCGCTGCAGGGCCACGGCAGGGCCACGGCAGGGCCTGCGGGGGGATGCCGAGTTCGGCGGTTCAGCGCGCGGGGCGTTGCATGGCCGTCTGGCCGTCTCAACGGAAGCCCAGGGTGTGCTCGCCGCTCGCTGCAGGTCGTCAACAGTTCGATACGGGCTTCGCCTGCTTCGCTTCGTGCGGCCCGACGCTCGACGCCCAGCCCGGCCCGGCCCCCCTCGGCCCCACCTCCACGTCGCCGAGCCCCGCGCCCCAGTGCAGGCGCCGCGCGACCCGCACGACACGCCGGGAGTTTTAGAGTTTGTTCTTTTGGCGCGCGGCTGCACCCCGCGACTGAAGCGACGCGCGCCCTGGAAGCGACGTGGCGGCGCCGAGGCGAAGGCGAAGCACCGCAGGGCGTCGAGGGCTTCCTCCGCGCGGCGCGTCCTCGCTTTTTACGGCCAAAGCCGGAACAGCGCCGCGCCCGGCCGCGACACTGTCGAGCGAGTCGGTCTCCGTCGCACTCACGGGGCTCCCCGAAGGGCGCGAGAGAGACGGAGGGACAAGCCGGTCCTCCGAATGGCCCGAACTGCGGACACGAACGCGAACCGGAAGCAGCGGCGAGGATCGGAAAAGGGAAAAGGGCAGCGGTTTTGGAATCGATACATCGATAGACCTGAGCCGCACGCGCGTTGCGTCGCCGTGCCGTGCGTTGCCCTCCCCGGCCTGTTCAGCACACTGATTCCGAGAGGCGTTTGCGACGCTCTGTCTCTCTCGCACTCAGGGGGCGTCCCGTGTAGGTGCGAGAGAGACAGAGCGACGAAGGCGCCTCTCGGAATGAGTGTGCAGTGTGCAGGGCCTCTCAAAAGGGAAACGCCATTGTGAGTGTATATTTGGCTCGCGCTCGTCGTGTACAGTGGCGCGGTGGCGCGCTCGAGTCGGGAAGACGCGGCGACGGCGACACACACCGCCCTGGCCGCGTCTCGCCGCGTCTCGCCGACACGTCGGCAGAATGTCACCGCCTTTTTGCCGCCTTGCCGCCCCTTTCCCGGTCCCTTTTACCAGTGGCGCGACGGCAAGTGTTTGCAGCCGCCTTCAATCAGGCTTCGAGCCAGGCGGCATCTCTCGGACGCAGCCGAGTCGTCTTCGTCGCTCTGTCTCTCTCGCACCCATTCGGAACGCACTGCGAGAAAAGATCACGGTAAATCCTGTACTGATTACTCCAGACTTCACCGTACTTTATTTAACAGGCAAAACCGTCGTTTTTTTACAGGCAACTCCGTCCTTTTTTTACAGGCAACACCGTACTTTTTTTACAAGGAATCCCGTACTTTTTTACCCGGCAATCCCGTACTTTTAATACCTATCAAAAACTGCTATAATTTATTTCAGTCGGTCGACCCTTGTTTTTTAAGATTCAGATGTACATAACTGCTGAAGTCGGACTCCTGGACCCTCTTTCCGACCACTCGTTGAAAAGGTCTTGACGAGACCTATCGAAAGGTGCAATAAAATTTTTCAGTCGGTCGATCCCCTTTTTTCAAGATCCTGATGTGGACAATTCTTGGGAGCGGCCTTTGTTGGGACCAGATCTGGTCCTTCCTACGGCATGCACTGTACGAATGAACGGTAACTACTGATAAAAAAACTACGGAATATTTTGTAAAACAAGTACGGAAAATACTGTAGACTGTACGGTGGATACTGGTTTTTGAAGTACGGTAAAGTTTGGCAAAAAAATTATCCAGGATTTACCGTCATTTTTTCTCAGAGTGCGCCCCATGAGTGCGAGAGAGACGGCGACGAAAACAGTGTGCAGTCGTCGTGGATGCAGTCTGCGCTTCGGGGACGTCTTGGGACGGCTCAACAATCTGGCGCGGGGATCGGTGCGGACGGGCACGGCACCGCCCGCATGCGTCCGCCAGCGGCCACCCACACTGTAGAGTGGGCGGAGCGGAAGGCACTACCGGGAAGCGCCTCTAGACCAGTGGTCTGTGTGCAGCGCGAGGGGGAAATTTTCACTGGGTCCTTGTGGGCGTGGGCATCTGTGAACGCTACGGGCTAACAGTGCTCAAGTTCCACGTTTCAAATTCCTCTGGAAGTACGTTGCGGGCACATAGTTTGAAATCGAGGCCATTACGGCAACTCTGGAGTTTTCAGTTAGCCCCTCCATACCTCAACTCGAAATGGCGCGCGCTCAGCCGCCCGGCCGCGACCCCCCAGGTTGGGGACCGCTGCCTAGAGCACCCGACCACCACACTAGCCGCGCTTCTGACTACCAAATAAAGAATTGCGACACTGTGGCATGGCTCTCTGTGCGTAAGAAAAACAGACTGGGCCTGCCCGGCCCGGCGCGGCGGCCAAGATAAGCGGGTGGCCCGCCGCGCCGGCCCGCCAGCGTCTTAGCTTGAGGGGCCCTCGCCCTCGCCTGCCCTCGCCGCCTGGGTGTAGCGGCGCAGCCTGGCGCAGTCCCGGGCAACGAGGCTTACAGTGCGGCGGCATGCGGCGCGGCCGCCTGGCCCAGTCATGGCGCATGGCTACGCATGGCGGCTGGGCCGGCTGGGCCCCAGCTGACTGATTCCCCCGGCCGCGGCCACTGTCGCCGCTCTGTCTCTCTCGCACTCATTGGCGAGAGACCGAGCGACGGACGCTGAGCGGCATCGGTCCGTCCGCGGGGCGTCCAGGGGCTCGTTGGGCTGGTTAGTGCGGGGGCGGGGCGGGGCGGGGCGGGGCGGGGCGGGGGCACGGCGATGCCTCACCGCCACGCTTCCGCACCCTCAAGACACGGAAAAGCACTTAAATTTCCACGGCGGGGGCGCGGGGGCTGCCTGGCGTTTGGTGGCGGCGTTTGGCCCCGGCAGGAGCGCGGCCCGGCCATCCGTCAACGTCCGGCACCAGCGGGCACCAGCCACCCAAAAACCGGGATTTAAAAAAAATGGCCTGACAAAGGGACTAGGAGGGGCCATGGCGGAGCTGTGAGCTGTTTAACGTAAGAACACAGCCCTCCGGCCTCCGGTCGGCGGGGCGGCGGGGCGGCGTGCCCCGAGGCGTGCCCGCGGTGCCGGCTGACGTTCGGATCGCGGTTTCGTGATTGATGGTCCGGCGGACGCGATCACAAAGAAAAACGAAAATGGAGAAGGAAGAATAGATAAACTGGGCGGGAGGAAGAGAGAGAGAGAGGGACAGGCGCCCTTGGCGTTATCTCGCTCGCGCGGCACCGCGGCACACATTCTCTCCGTCTGGAGACGTTATCAGTGCCGGCAAGTCGAGGCGGCCGGGGAAGCCGACGGCTCGCCGACGGCCCGCCGACGGCCCACGACTTGAGCAGCGCGGCGATGAACCCGCGCCCCGCCCCGCCCCGCCCCGCCCCGGCCGCGGCCACGCCCCCCGTCGGCTTGCTGCCTGCCGGACGCGGCTTCGCCTCCCTCCTGGACCTTGTTTGTTCTGAAGCTCCGGCTTCGGCCGCCGCTTCGCCGCTTGGCTGCTTTGCTGCTTTCGGCGGGACGCGCGTCAAGGCTGCCTCCCTGGCATGGCGCCTGGCCCGGCCCAGCCCGGCGTGGCGCGGCGCCTTTATCTGGGTCATGCAGATTTCACGTCGGGATCCATTTTGGTCCGAAATTAGTTTCCCCGCTGCGGCGCTGTGCGGCGCTGTGCGGCGCCCCGCTGGTGTTTAATAACCCGGCCCGCTCATCAGAGGAGCGCTCCGGAGTCGCAGACAAGCCCCGCTGCGGGAAAATGAAACGGAGGGATGAATTTCGGAATGGAGGAAGTGCGCTGCGCGTGGCGAGCCGCGTGGCGGTGAAAGCCCGTCGCGTGTGACTCGGGGTAATGGGGCGGCAGCGGCCCGTCCTTCCGGGGGCGTCCCGCAACGCCCCGACAGAAGTAGCCCCGATAATGCCGATAATAATCATGATTAATATGCGCATGTCCCGCGGGGCGCGCACGCCGCGTCGTTACCATACTGATGGCGCCCCGGGCAGACACGGCCAGGACGCCTCCCCCGCCACCCCCGCCTCCCCCGCCTCCCCCGCCTCCCCCGCCTCCCCCGCCTCCCCCGCCTCCCCCGCCTCCCCCGCCTCCCCCGCGGCCCGGAGCGCCGCAACGCCCACCCCGCCGCACAGTGGGCCAGGTAGTGGCGGCCGAAACTCTAGACGCGTTTTGAGCTCCCCAAACAGGACTCGAACCGAACGCGCGACCCCACCAATGGATTCCTCGTTCGGGTACGCTGCGGCAGAGTGTCCAATCGGGCGGTTGGTAGCAACCGCTCGGTTTGTGCGCAAGAGAGACAGAAGATTCGGAACTAGCCGAGGCAGCCGAGGTGCATTCGGGCCGACTCCCGAACGGCTGCCGAACTCATGAGTGCGTCCGTCCCGCCGTCGTCAAATACGCAACGGTTGACGGGGAACCGCTCGGGCCTTCGGTTCGGTTCGGGTGTAACCGAACCGAAGCGGCCGGCGGGCGGTTCGGGTCTAACCGAAGGCATGCTCGGCGGTCGAACGGTTGCTACCAACCGCCCGATTGGACACTCTGCGCTGCGGTACGCTGCCAAAAGCACGCCACTGGCCGACAGTGGGGTGGTCGGGGTGGCTGCATCGGGAGCCCCTGCGAGGCGAGGCTAGGCAACCCGCTGGCCCGGCGCGCGTTCGGGCGGCCTGCTTCCACGGCGGCTGGGTGGCTGGCTGGCATGCTGGCGCGGCGCGACGCTTGGCCGCCAGGCTTGGCGATGAGGAAGGCGCGGCTGCCAGGCCAGCCATTCAGGAGATCGGCTTGTCGCTCTGTCTCTCTCGCACCCTTATGGAGATGCCAACGAGTGCGACAGAGACAGGGCGATGAAACGAGTCTTCTGAATCGCTCGGCAGGCATTGTGCGCTGGCCGCTTCCCGCTCCGCCCCGCCCCACCCCCGTGGGCGTGCGGCCGGCGCGGCCGGTGCGGCACTCGGTTGCCTCACGGCTCACGGTGTGGCGTGTATTATTGACGTGACGTGGCCACACACCGGCCGGCCGGAGGCGTGGCAAGCTGCACTGCACTGCACCGCGACGGTTGGCGAGACTCGCGCGGGACTCGTTGTCGCTGACGCGCTGACGCGCTGACCTTGACTCTCTCTGTTGCAGCCATGGAGGCGAAGGCGGCCGCGGCCATCACGGCCAGCAAGCAGCGCGTCAAGGACGAGCCGCCCCCGGGGCTGGGGGCGGTCCGCGGTCCTGGCTGCGGCGGAGGCGGCGGTGGGGGCGGCGGCGGCGCGACGGGCCGCACGCCCGAAGAAGAGGAGGAGGAAGGCGACGAGTTTGATGAGAATGACCTGTTCTCCGCCGTCAACTACAACACCATCACCTCGCTGGCCGCCCTCAAGGAGATCCTGGGCACGAGCGGCCAGGACGGCTCGGACACGGTGTGGTTCCAGCACTACTTCCTGAACCACGTCAACAGGCTGCCGTCCCGGTCGCAGTACCCGGAGTGGCGCCGCCTGTCGGAGTGCCCCGAGGAGGACGAGGACGCCCCGGAGACCAGCACTACATCTACCAAGTAAGCGCAGCAGGCGCTGTGAGTACATGAGCCGTGCTGAGGTCGTCCCTAACGCCCCCCTCCTGTCCACAGCACACAGCCCACGGTGACGGCGCCGACGCCGCAGCCGCCGCGCACCCTGCTGCCGGAGTCGTCTTCGGCGTCGTCAACGGCGCCCTCGTCGTCGGCATCCTCACGGCCTCCGCCCACGCTGGCGCACTTGTTCGAGCCGCTGTCGCCGCGGGGCGTGGGGCCGAGGACGTCGCCGTCGCCGCTGCAGTCACCGCACCTGGACAAGCGCTTCTTCGACCAGTCCCTCATCGAGATGAAGTCGCAGGCGTCGTCCTCGTCCACGCTGGACTACGACTCGACGGACGAGCTGTGGGTGCGGCGCACCGACCTCGCCAAGAAGAAGGTGAGTCCTTGTCCTTGTGCCTCAGCGGGCTGGAAGGCTGGGAGTAAGTGAGGACTCTCCAAGCCTCCCATTGTCCTTCGGCACGAGTCCCTTGTCGTCCTCGCTGCTGACTGGGCGAGCCGAGCCGAGCTGAAACCGCGGCGATCCGATTCGCGCCGGTGGGAAGTGGTTGTCGCCGCGGTGGCGGCACGGCGGCACGGGCTGGCTAACCGCAGACCGACTCAGAGAGTCGTTCTCGTTGCTCTGTCTCTCTCGCACCTTTACGGGACGCCCCATGAGTGCGAGAGAGACGGAATGAGTCTGCAGGGCGGGTGGCGAGTGGCGTCGCGTGTCGCGGGCCACGTGCTGTTGCGCCGGGTTGCACCGCCACTGCCCGCGGCACTGCCCGCGGCGCGCCGATCGATGCAGCCTGGAACAAAGGGACACGTCGCGCGTCGACGAACCGCCAACCTCGCCAAGCACGCCGAGCACGCCGCCATGCAGAGGGGCGGAGGGAGGGGGCTTCACTCCAAGGGCCACGCGCTGGGCTGTGCCGGGCCGGGCATGGCGTGAGGGTGATGGCGGCTCTGCGGATCTGCAGTCCCCCTCCCCCTCCCCCTCCCCTCCCCTCTCCCCCTCCCCTCCCCTCCCCCTCCCCTGCTCCGGGGACGCGTAGCGCCTCGGAGTGACGCGGGGCGAGATGGAATGCGAGCTGACGGATCGCATCGGCGAAATTGGCGGCAGGGCTCCAGACGGACACACGTCGCCGTCGTGCCCTGGCGGCCCTGGCACGCCAAGGGCGCGGAAGGGCAGGCCCTCGTCGCTCTGTCTCTCTCGCGCCTTCGCACCGCCGCATGGCAGCGAGAGGGACAGAGCGCCACTGCGTGCGGTCGGCCAATCAGGAGCGTCCTTTTTGGCGGCAACTCGGCCGGCTCAAAGGCCCGCACAGCGCAGGCCGCGTTACGCCATCCGCCTTCGGGGAAACCCCCAGCCCTTTTGCCCTGGAAAGGTTCGGCACACTCGGCCGCCCCCACCCCGCCCCACCCCCGCAGCGCGGAGCACGCCGCAACCCCCAGGCGGCACCCCCAAACTGCATTATACCTCCCCTGTTGCAGCCCCCACCCCTTCTACCCCTTCTCCCCCTCCCCCACGGCCTTGGCGACCCGCGCCGGGCTGCGCCGGGCGGGGCGGCATGCTATTAGGGCCCCCCGAGACGCGCGTGGCATCCGTTACGCCCCTGCAGCACGCCGTGGTGGTGGTGGCGGCGGCGGCAGCGGTCTGTGACGAATGGGCGTCCGAGGCTTGTCCAGCCAACCCGCCGGGGCCCCGCCGGCGGCCGCTGTCGGCCGTCGGGCTGTCCCGCCCGGATTTAACACCCCGCTTGGTATTGCCCGGCCGGGCTATCCGTTGGCGTCGGCACTGGCGTCGGATTTCACGTCTCGGCCTTGAACCCCGGCAGACTGGCGCGCCATGAGTAACGGGATGGCTGGAAGAAGCAATCAGCCTTACCTCTGCAGTGTGGCGGCGAGTCGGCCGGAGCGTGCCGCCTGGTGCCGCGTCGTTCGCCGCTCGGCGCGCGGACGGTCGCCAAGGGGACCGGACACACGGGCTGTTGGCTTGTCTGGCCGTGGGGCCGTCTGGCGTGGTCTGGCGCGACGTGCAACTTTGGACAAGGACCAGCTAACAAGCGTGCGCCACCGCCCCGGTCTCTGGGGCCTCTCGGCCGGGCGTGGGCACAGGCCAGACGCAGAGCACTCCCTCCGTCCGAAAGCATTTCTTCTGCCCGAGAGCACCTCTCCCGCCGGAGACCATTTTGCCTTTGCGATTCTGCCGAAAAATGTCGCTCGGTCGACTCTGGCAGTGGAGTGCAGTGCAGTTGTCCTCGCTAGCCTGGCCTGGCGCCTTGAAGCTTCCTGATTCAGAACATCGCTGTCTCTCTCGCACTCATCAACTGTTCCGCACGGGCGCGAGAGAGGCAGCGACGAAACCACGCAATCAGCGAGCTTCGGCCCGGCACGCCAGGGGTGGCCGACCTGGGCGCGGCGTGGCGCGGCGCCTGTGCCGCCTGTACACTGTGTGCCGTGTGTGCTTGTGTGCACGTCCAGAGGGCGGCCGGGGCGTTGGGCTCGGCAAACAAAGAAGATGACGCGCTGGTGGACATCCACCCCGTGAGCGGGGCGCGAGGCGCGAGCGCGTCCGCCCGCACCCTGCAGGGCATGCCGGCGTGCCCTGGGCCGTGGCGGTGACGGTGACCTTGGCGGCGCACCCCTTGGCGCACCCCGCCGCCGTCACGCACCCCGCAATCAGCGGACTGGTTCCGAGCGTCGCTTTCGTCGCGCTGTCTCCCTCGCACCCGTAGGGCGTCCCCTAAAGGTGCGAGAGTGACAGAGCGACGAATCTCGGAATCATTCTGCAGCCCGGCCAAGGCGATGTGCCGTTCGGCCGTGGAGGCAGTTAGGCCGCCAGGCGCCGCCATTCCCCGCGGCGCGAACCACAGGGACCCTCCCTGAAGGCTGCTGTTCGCCGCCGACCCCGCTGTGTTGGCGTGGCTCGCGCTGGCTGCATTTCCGGGCCGTGTTTTTGGCGCGCTTCTAATCCACTCACTACACCAGGCGGCGGGGGCGAGGCCGGCCGAGGCGGGGCGGGGCGGGGCGGCCTCCCCTTCCAACCCAGGCGGCCCCTCGGACCCTCGGCCCCTTGCAACCAATTCCGACGCCGCCACGGCCACCGGCGCCGTCCTTGTGAATGGCTGGCCGGCGGGGCGGGGGCGGGGGCGGAGGGGGCGGCGTTTGGCGTCACGTCGTCGGGGGCGGCGCGGCGTCGCGGCGGCCGAGCTTGGAGCTGCTCACAGTGTGGAGTCCTCAGCATGTGGCGCCGACCGGCAAACACGTCTGCCCTGTGACAACGGCGACGACGAGGACGGCGACGAGGACGGCGGCGAGGACGGAGGCGAGGACGGCGACGAGGACGGCGACGAGGGGCGCGTGTCCTCTTGGAATATGGATGGGCGGTGCAGTGTCAGCCCGACAACTCAATCGGCCGGCCGGCCGGCGGGCGGGCCTCCCAAAACAAACACTCACACACATGCACGCGCACTCGCACACACGCACACTCTCACACACGCGGCGGCCGAAAATAGAAGAAACGCTTCAGGATGTTGCGCGCGCGCCCCGACGACGAGCTGAATTGGAGCGCCGTGACTTGGTCGTGGTAATTGATCGTGGTGGTTGTCCCCGAGTTGTGTGCTGCTGGCTTGCTGGCGGGGCGGGGCGGGGCGGCGCCGCGGCGACAGTATCAAGCGATCCGCGCGGCGGGACGGCGGGACGGTTCCTGTTGATTGGCGGCAATTGGCTGCCCCCCCCCCTTCTCCCCCCTTCCCCTGGTGTAGTGACACGGCGTGCCGCCCGGCGTGCCGCCCGGCGTGCCGCCCGGCGTGCCGCGCCCTGCCGCGAGGAGCGTGGCGCCGCTCCGCTGGAACCAGAGCGGGGCCCGTAAATTTGCGGTTCAAATTTCAGGGGGCGACGCGACGCGACATCGGCTCTCTTTTCGGTGTTGTCCTTTGTGACGCTCGCCAGGGTGACCGGTCGGCCGACCCGGAGCGGGAGGAAAATCGTTACCGTGCCGTCCCGTCGTCCCGTCGTCCGCACGGCCGTGAGTTCGAATACCGACCGTTGTTGTTTTTGTTGTGGCTGGCTTTTTGCCGCGCCCCGCGCCGCGCCTCTGCGCCAAAGCCAATCAATAACCCCGAGGCAACAAAATAACGAATCGAGAGCCGCTAGCCGCTGATGAGCGCGCCTTGTTGTGATAACCTTGGCGCGACGCGGTCCGGTCCGGCGAGGCGCGCTGCGCGACGCGACGCGCGAAACGAGGAGAGAGGAGAGGAGGCCGCGTGCGCGTGGCTTGACGCTGGCGGTGGGCGGCTCGGCTGCAGCTGCACCGGTAGCCTAGGACCGCCACGCCCCGCCAGCCGACGCGGCTGCCACTGCCCCGCCGGCACACTGCCCTCGCCGCCGTCACCGGCCCCGCCTCCCCGGCGACAAGGACTGGCTATTAAAAGTTTGGCACCTGTGAACTTGACTCGTCGACTTTTCTGAAAGGCGCCTCTGTGCCCCTCCCCGGCCGGCCGGCTCCGGTTGAGTGCCGAGTACTGTACCGGGTTCAAACTGAAACGAGACCCTCAAAGCAACGCGCCGAGGCCCCGCCCGGTGCCAGCCGGTGTGGGGTGGCCCGCACCGCGCATCGCGCCAGCCCGAGAGCGCCTGCGAGGTAGGCAAAGTCCGCCTTCGACGCACAGCTGTGCGCCGGGCTGCCTACCCCGTCGTCCTGCAGGCGCTCCGCTGGAGGCCATCAAAATCCCGGGTGAGTTTTGAGCCCCAGAGCGGCTAAGTTGGACTCGAACCGAACGTTTGATCCCACCAATGGATTGCTCTTTGAACGAGGAATTCATTGGTGGGGTCACATGTTCGATTCGAGTCCTGTGCAGCGACTCCGGAGCTCAAAACGCGACTTCAGTTTTGGCCGCCGCCTCCGCCGGTCTTCTGGCCCACTGTGCATGGCCCGCCAACTATAGGCCGCCCTGTCCGTCCTTTCGCCTGTCTGTCTGCCTGTCTGTCCGCTCGGATGCGGCATGTGTATGGATGAGTGGCGCCCGAGATGATCCTCGCAGCCTCGCTGCCGGACCCCGCCCGTCCTTGGCCCGCTGGCCTCGTGTCGTGGTGCCGGCCACGCGTGCGTGTCACGCCCCGCTGCGCGAGGCCCCGCTGCAGGCCGTGCAGGCCATGCAGCGCATGCAGCGCGTCCCCGAGGCCCCGCCGCCGCCCCGCCCCGCCCCGCCCCGCCCCGCCCCGCCCCGCCCCGCCCCGCCGCCGCGAAGCCGTATGCCGCTCGCGGAAACGACGTGCACTTATGCGGTAATGCCGCGACGCCTCGCCGCGTCACGCCCCGCTAGCCCGCCACCGTCGTCACGGCAACGAGGAGCCGCGAGGGACGGGGCCGGTCGGTAAGGCACGCCGTGGCACGCCGTCGTCTAGCGGTGCACCGCCGAGCGGGGCCTCCACGGCGGGCTTTTTAAAAGGCATTTGTGACCGCCGGCCCAAAACACGATTTTTCAAAGACATTTGTAACCGTTTTGATCAACTTTGCGGCAATACTGCTCCCAAACTAAGGCAGATAATCGCACTCCGTTACAAAGGCATGCTAAAGGAAGGTCCAAAGACCAATTGCCCGTTGAGGGAGAACGAAATCCCGCCTCGGATCAGACACCGTGTCTGCTTAAAGTCGGCCCAAAACACGATTTTTCAAAGACATTTGTGACCGTTTTGATCAACTTTGCGGCAATACTACTCCCAAACTAAGGAAGATAATCGCACTCCGTAACAGAGGCATGCTAAAGGAAGGTCCAAAGACCAATTGCCCGTTGCAGGAGTACGAAATACCGCCTCGGATCAGACACCGTGTCTGCTTAAAGTCGGCCCAAAACACGATTTTTCAAAGACATTTGTGACCGTTTTGATCAACTTTGCGGCAATACTACTCCCAAACTAAGGAAGATAATCGCACTTTGTAACAAAGGCATGCTAAAGGAAGGTCCCAAGACCAGTTGCCCGTTGAAGGAGTACGAAATACCGCCTCGGATCAGACACTGTGGCTGCTTAAAGTCGGCCCAAAACACGATTTTTCGACGACATTCGTGACCGTTTTGATCAACTTTGCATTTGCATCCCGTCCCAGCGTGCGGAAGTGCCATCCCTTGGGGCCTCCTTCGGCCGTCGCCGCGCTGCCGCCGCGTTGCGTTGCGCCCCTCCGTCACGGCCGTCACGAGCAGCGCCCGGCAGCGCCTCGGCGGCTGGGAGTATCGCCGGACGCGGCGCGCAGGGGCCGCTAGATGGCGCTGCGACAGTGGCGGCGGCGCGGGGCCCCGCGCGGGGTATCGCCTCCGCGTCGCGGCGTCGCGGCCGAAGGGGGTGTGTCCCTCATGTGTCCGAGCGACCGCGCCACTGACTGATTCCGAGACTCGTTTTCGTCGCTGTCTCTCCAGCACTCATGAGTGCGAGGTAGGCAGCGCGACGACAGCGAATATCGGAATCAGTCTGCCGCCGCGGGTCTGTATCTTCCGGTCTCATTCTTGTTCACGGCGAACGCCTTCGGCTATTTCGGACCCGGGCCGCGGCGTGGCGCCCAAAGGCTGCGCGCTGCGCGATTTGGCGTTCTTTGTTCCTTGGTGTCGCCTTTGCGGTGCAGCGGGTTTGATTTACGCGGCGGGGCGTGGCGGGGCGGGGCCACCGCGGTCCTTGGCTCGCTCCCCAACTGACTCCGAGAGTCGCTCTCGTCGCTCTGTCTCTCTCGCACCTGTAAGGGACGCCGCATGAGTGCAAGAAAGACAGCGACGAAAACGACTCTCAATGAGTCTGCCGTTTCCTAGACGGGCATCGCTGCGCCTGCTTCGCCGCGGTGCCGCAGGGCTGCCAGGTTGATCCCGCCCACCCCTACACTGTGATTCCGCCCGTCGCTGTCGTCGCTCCGTCTCTCTCGCACTCACGGAGCGTCCCGTCTGCGAGTGTGCTCGGAGTGTGGGGTGGTGCCGCCACGCCGCCACGTGCGACCCCCTTTCGCTGCGGCCCGCCCCGGGCCCGCCGATCACCGACAAAGTGCACGGCATGCCACTGCGAAAACGGCCAAAACAAACCCCCAACCCCAAGCCACTGCCGCCGCCGCCGCTCCGCAAGGAGGAGAAGCGGAGCGGACACTTGGAGCGCAGCTGGGGCGAGGCAGGCGAGGCACGGCCGCCGGCCGGGCACAGCTGCTGCCAGAGCGCCAGAGCGACGTCTGGCTCTGACATGACCCTCCTCTTCCTCTGCCCTCCCTCCTCCCCCGCTCCTTCTGTAAACAGCGCGACGTTGCAGAGCGACGCGAAACGCGTGTTTTTTGTCCGCTGCAGAGTTTGCTGCTGATGACGATTAATCCGCTTGCCCGCTTGTGCTGAGTCCGCGGGGCTGGCTGAGCTGGGCAAGGCGGCGACCGACGCGGCCGTTGTTTGGCGGACCCGCGCGTATTTCGGCCATTTCGGCTTTTCCGCGCGTCGAAGGTCGACGGCGGCCGAAGAGGGAACGAGGACAAAGCGCGAATTCCAAGTCTCATCAAGCCCTCGCCGGACTCTTGCTCGCCACTGGCCCTGCAGGCTGATGCCGAAGGATCGATCTGTCTCTCTCGCACCCGCGCGGAACGCGCCATGAGTGCGACAGAGACGGAGCGACGACATGATCCTTCGGAATGGGACGGCAGGGGCCGTGGCATTGGGCCGCGTGGTGGGTGGCTGTAACCGGCTGGAACAGGCTGGAAGTGCAAAGGGGTGGTCCGCAGGGGTGGTCCGTAGTGGTGGCCCGAAGGGGTGGCCCCACCCTGCAGGCTGCGGGGGCGGGCCAGCGCCAGTATCTAGGTCAGCACCCGCCACGCCACCCTTACAACTTGCCGCTCCCCCTCGGCTTGGCCCCCGGTGCTACGCCATGGCTACGCCGCTACGGTTCTCCGGGGTGGCGCGCGGTGTGGGTGAGGCCGACCTTGGTGCACCCTTGCCCTGTCCTGCACCCCAGGCTGAGCCGGGGAGGCTGACGCGGCAGGCCGACGAACACCCGAGACACAAAGGGGACCACTTAACCCCGCGGCAGGGGTGCTGTTAGCGGCGCCCCGCCAGGCCCACCAGGCCCAGGCCGCGGCCCGCCGCGCAGCCACGTCGCCTCGGCCTCGGCCGGCGGGCGGGGCGCGGGGCGCGCTCAAGAACCAGCAGCGTGGCGTCGGGTTCACGTTGACGCCATCCCCGCCGGCTCGTCTAGTCTGGCCGCACTCCCCGCACCGGGAAGACGCGCCGCCCCGTCGTGGCGACCAAGTGCCCCCGCGAGGCCGCGTCGCCGAGTCACCGAGCCCTCCTGGACGTCGAGAGGGTGACGCCGTTTATCGACCTGCCCCCGCGTCGCGTGTCGCCTCGCTCTGCCTCGCTCGTGCTCGCCCTTCTGGCACGCGTCGACGGGCACCCTCCGCTCCGCGCCGCGCCACCCCCTGACTCCCCCCGGTTGCCCCCAACTCCCAGGCCCCAACTTCACGATTATTCCCAGCCATTTGGCTGTGAAAAGTGGCGCTACAATCGTCCCGTCTCGCCTCTCGCCTCGCGCCGCTTCGCGCCAGAGCGGTAAACAACGGCCAGCTTAGCGGCGGTGTGGCCGTTTGGCCGTCCGAGTGGCCGACTGGGCGTGTGTCGGTGTGAGCGTGGGCCTGGTGGGCCTACCCAGGCCAGCCTTGCTCCCCGGCCGGGTGCTTGGTGCTCGCGGCGCTCGTCCACCGCCAGTGCGGCAGAGCGGTAGTGCGACCGCCTCGCCCGCCTCGCCTGCGCCGCCGAGTCGAGATAGCGGCCGTCCCTACAGTGTGGCGGTGCGTGGCGCCGTGATAACCACAAGGTGGACTCGTGGACCGCGGAGGCTGCTCCTCCTGCTCGCCCTACTCCGAGTCCTACTCGCCCTGCTCTGGCCGCCCCAGCGACGCCATGCTGCACGGGTGGCGCGCGCGCGCCAACAGCCTCATGAAGGTACGGGGGAGGACGCCGTCGTCGTGCACCTCGCCGTCGACGCCGAGTTCTTCTCGGGGAAGCCGCGGCGAGTGAAATGGGTGGGATGGGCGCGTGCTGTCGCCTCTTACTGGAACCCGATTTCCCTGCTGCCTGCCTTCCTGCCTGCCTGCGTAGTACTTTGCCCTGATTGGCCGCGCGACGGCGCCGTAATCGAATCCCATCCCAGCAGAAGCACAGCCCTGCCGTGCCGCGCGCCGCGCCGTCACGGTGGCGCGGTAGGCACCCCGCCGCTCGGAGTCTCAGAGGCAGGGGCACGACGGGCTGGCGGAACCTTTGCGCTGACACTTTGTCTCCCTCGCCCCTCGCCCCGGCATTTTATTTTATTCATTTCGTTTCCGCGACTCCTCTTTCCTGCTGACTCAAGTGTGTCTTCTTGTTTCCTTGTTTCAGGAGCTGGGGTCGCAGCCGCTGCCGACGATGCCGCTGGACGACCGGGACGAGTCCGGCCACAGGCCGCGCGCAGGTTGGTATCCGCTGCGACGGCCGCGGCGGCGTGGCGTGTGGAGTCTCTGCGCCGCGGGGTACCGCCGGCCGACGGGTACCCGGTAGTGCGCGCGGGCCGCCGACAGAGCGCGCCGTTGTCCACTCGTCATTTGGGGCTTCCGGCGCGGTCCGCCGCGGTCCGCGTCCGCGATGCCTCTCGACCACGTGGGTTGTTGACGCCGCTCGACGCAGTGAGCGTCTTTTTTTTGCAACCGGTTTCCGCAAGTTCTTGTTTGGCTCTGGTTACGAGTCACGCGTGCCGCGGTGTCCTGCGCAGCGACGCGACACATGTCGTTGGATAGGATAAGGGACCCAGGGCCGTTGCTGACCCCGATGTTGATGTTCTTGCAGGGACCTGGGGCACGGCCGCAGGCCGCATGGTGCCGCCAGGGTCGGCCCCTCCGTCGGCGCCGGGCTCCAACCCCTCCTCGGCGCCGGGCTCCAACCCACCCTCCAACCCGCCGTCAGGGCCGCCGTCGGCCAAGGGCTCCAAGACGTCCATCGCGTCGTCCAAGACCTCCAAGCAGCGGCGGTCCGCGTCGCAGGAGCGGCGGCGGTCCGGGGACGACGTGCTCATGGCGCAGCAGGCCGTGTTCGCGGCCGCGGCCAAGGCGGCCGTCGCCTCCTCCACCAAAACGTGGACGGCCGCCATGACGCAGTCGCCCACCAAGAGGCCCACCATCTTCGAGGCCTTCCGGCCGCGGTCCAAGTCGGACGCCAAGGAGGCCAAGCCCAAGGACCCCAAGGAGCACAAGTCCAAGAACGTCATCTCGCAGATCAAGAGTGCCATGCAGGTGAGGCCGGCAGCTTAGTCGCTGTTCAACGCTCGCGTTCCCAGTGGCCTGCCGATTGGTCGGCAGCGGCTGAGCGCGCGATTCCACTTGAACGTCTTGATCAGAGTCTATGTGCTTGCACGGCGAGTCGGCCTGTGAGGCAGTCAAGCCCTCTATGGCTTTGCAATGAGTGTGGGCGTGCGTGTCGCGACTCGCGGCGCGGGGCTGCTGAGCCTCGGCTCCCCGCCCCCGCCCCGCCTCCCGGCCCCTTAATGAACCCGTTTAATGCCTTGTTCGTCCAATTGAGTCACTCGCACCGACGGCCTGCTCGGCATGGCGGGGCCGGCCGCTGTGCGCGCACTCGGCGAGCTTGACGTGCTGTCACGGGCTGATCCCCTCCCCCTGCTTCGCATGTTGCAGCACTCCCTGATGTCGTCGCCGTCGTCGAGCCGCGGGGGCTCCTCCACGTCGACGAGCGGCTACTCCTCCAACGAGAACACGCTGACGGGCGCGGGTGCCGACGGCGCGGACGGCGCGGCGCCCAGCAGCAGCGGCAAGTCCAGCAGGCCGAGGGCGGGGTCGGACTCGTCGTCCGGCAAGAACGCCGTCACCAAGGTCATGGACATGTTCCGCTACCGCTCCAACTCGGCCATCTCATCCGAGGACAAGATAAAGGTGAGTTGGGGCAGGGGCAGGGTAGGCCGACCCGTCGGCAGTCGTGCGCGCGGCGTGCCTACCACGCGGGGGCTCTGCCCTTGACCACCGGGGACGTGGACGCGGGGCTGGGGCGAGGTCGCCGTCAGAGGGTGCGCGGACATGTCGCGGCCCTGACCTTGCCCCGCATCGCGTGGCGTGTGGGGAGGGGGCAGTCACAGTCGCGGGCAGCGGGGCTAGCCAAGCGTGGGTGGGTGCCCGCGGTGCCCATGTCACACGCCACGGCCAGGGAGCCGGGCCGGCCGCCGGATCTGGTGTCCGCGGCGCGCTCCTGGACCGTGGCAGAGCGGCGGAGTGGGCCCGCGGGCTGCTGGGAGGAGGAGGGGGGCGCTTTCGACACGCCCCGTGGTGGCCCGTGACGGAACTATTTGGAAGTTAAGTGACTCGGGGCGGAGAGCTGCGAATTGTGCCGCGCCACGCCACTGCTCACAGCCCAGCTCGCTTCCCCGTCGCTAAAAATAATTAAGGTCCATGGCATTCCTAGCAGTGTGGGGTGGGACTCCGGGACAGGTGCGCGTGGACTGCTGCGTGGACGGCGTGGACGGCGTGGACTGTCAGCCGGGTCGATCGGCGGCGCCACGCGCTGCTGCCGCTGGCTGCCCCGGGCAGGCCGGACACGCTGGGCCGGTATGGAATGGAACCGGCCGCCGAATGCCCGAATTGCTGTCTGGCGTCCGGGCAATGCGGTCCTCATCATGTCGCTGGCGCCACGCGCGCCACGAGGCTCAGGCCCGCGCGGCTCGCCGGCCCAGCCCGGGGTGGTCCAGGCCGCCAGGCCGCGGCCTTGCACCTGCAGGAAGTGGAGCCGCAGTCCCACCAAAGGCCTAAAGGCTGCCAAACGCCCCGGCCACAGCGGCCCTGTTTGGCGTCCGTTTTCAACAGTTCCGACTCGTTATTTTCCGTGGTGCCCCCCCCCCCCCACCCCCTCCCCGCGAGGCGTATTCCAATGCATGCGGGCCGAGGCTCGATAAGTATGCGGCTGAATCGGATTATTAATTGAAGGAGAGGTTCGGCCACAGCGGTGCGCGCCGCGGTGCCGCTCGCTTCGAGGAAAGGGAAGGGAGGACCGGGAATGAATGAATGAATTGGTGATCGGGGGCCGAAGGCGGCCGAAGGGGAGAGAGCCAAGGTTGGGAAGGGAGGGGGGGGGCAAGAAATGCGCTTCCATTAACCGGATGACTCACTCCCCAGGAAGGGACGGAGCAGAACACACCAAACCCGCCTCGCGTAGACGACTAATCACACACACACACACACACACACATACGTGCGCGTAGTCGTGGGATGCAAATTAAAATGGAAGCAGACGACGCGGCTTGCTTCCTCAGGTGGCGCGGTGTATTTCTGTCTGGCCGCGGCGTTCGCGGCGTGGCAGGTGGCGGTCCGTGTTTGCACGTCCTGTTGTCGGGCGCGACGCGGCGCGGCGTATGGGCACGCGCGCGGCGAGGCGGGCTGCGTCGCGTCGCCGTCAACCCGGAGCCAGGCCCCGGCGCCGCCGGCTGGCACCGCCGATGTCGACGGCGTCTTCGTGCGGTGACCGACGGTGGCCCGATGAGGATGATGAGATTCTGATTTATGACGGAGTGTTAGCGAGTGCCGCCACACCTGAGCGGGCCGCGGCCACCGCGTCGTCGCTGCGCGGCGGGCACGGGGCACGGCGTGCGACGGGCTGTAGTACAGGCCTATGGGGGCCCCAGCCCGCCGGTCCCGCCGGGTCCCCGGTAGCCCCGTCCCCGTGGGCCCGCTGCGCCGCGCCGCCTGCCTCGCCCGCAGTTCGCCCGCCGCGCCGCCCGCTGCCGCCGGCGTCCCGCGCCGCACCGCGCCGTCACTTCACTTGTCCGCGGACCGCGACACGCGACGCGAGTGCGCGAGCGCCGGGCCGATCATCGCCGTGGTGTTGCCGCGCGCCGCGCGAGGCCGTCGAGTACGTCGGGGCGATGCGTGCCGCCGCCCCCCGCGGCGCCCACCCCGCGAGTGCAGCCAGTGCAGCGAGAGCGAAGAGTGTCCGGGCGCCGTCCTAGGCAGGACCTTGGGAGGGTCGAGTGGGTCTTGAAGGCGGCCAGGCCTCGGCCAGGCCGGCCCGGGGTTCGGCCGCAGCTTATGAGGAAACAGCTGCAGCGCGCGCCACCGCCTCGCCAACAAGCTCGCGGCCCCCAGTGCTGAGGTCGTGGGTTCGACTCCCGGCCCGCCTTCGATTCGCGCAGACGCCACGACGTCGGTCTGCGCAGACCGCAAAGGACTTGGTCGACCTGTGTCGGGCGGTCGCACGGCCGCGCCACCTGCTGAATCTGCAACCCCCGCCCGCCCCTCTACGCCCCGCCCACGGGAAGCGGGCAATCAGTGCGGAGCACTGCAGAGGCTGCGCGCTGCGCGGGGCGGCGGGGCCGGTTCGAGTTGATAACGACGCGCCGCTGTCAAGTGGTGCTGCAGGCGCAAGGTGCGCGTCAAAGACAGTCAGAGACACTCAAAGACCGTCGGGGAGCTGCTCACTCAGAGCCAGGGCGCCGTCAGCCCGTCGAGTCGCCGTGCTTCGCACTCTGGCGTCGCAAGGCGCGGTGCGTGGCTGCGTGGCGCCGATAACGACGTGACTTGAGGCATTCTCAGAGGCTGCAACCGCCCTGCCTCCGCCTGACAGCGCCTGACTCTGTCAGACGGCCTAGTCCTCCAACCGGTCCCCCGGCAATCTGCGCGGGGGCTCGGCACCCACCGCGCCGCCGCCCTGCCCCTCGGACGTCCGTGTGTGTGCGTGTGTCTGTGTGTGCGTGCCCGCTCTTGTGTGTACACAAACATGTGTGCGATTATCATCTTCCCGCGTGTGTTACGTGGCTGCCGCGCGCGGCGCGAGGCGGCGCGGAGCAGCGCGGGCCTTAATGTATTCAGGGGTCGCCGGTGCTTGCCACCAGAGGCCACCGTCGTCGTCGTCACCGCCGCCCGACTCGACTGCACGCCGCTAGCCGCGTAGTCGCGCCGCCGCGCCGCGAACCACCAAAGTTGGGTCGGGTCGGATTGGATCCGCGGACGAGAGGAAGGGGCGGAGGGAATCCATGAAGCCCGGGGGCGTTTTCCTCCGACCGTGAGGGAGACGTGGGTGTGTGTGAGTGTGTGTGTGTGTTAGGTGTGCACGTGGTCGCGAAAGGGTCGCGCAGTCGTTGTCGCGGACCGGCGGGTATTTCGAGCCGATGCGCGCAAGTTATCGCGCCATTCCCAGCCGAGACTTGCGGGCGCCGAGCCCAGCGCCTCCTCGCGGCGCAGGCTGCAGACAGCGATCGGCAAACCGCGAGTGCGGCGGGCGGCGGCGGTCTGGCCGTGTTGACGTCGGGGACAGATAAAGGCAATTGCCGGGATGGGCCGCGCGACACTCATTGACAGGTGCACTTGCGGCGCTTAGGTGTGTGTGTGTGTGTGGGTGGGGGGGGGGGGGAGCCCGCCTGCTTGCAACTTTGAAATTACAATGTTGTTTACAGGGCGGCATGCCGGCGTGGCTGTGGCGGGCGGAGGGCTTGAGAACCCACCCACCAGGCGACTAGCGCGCCGACTAGGGACTAGGTCGGACTAGGTCCGCGGTGGCCGCGACCTTCGGCACGGCGGCAACGCGGCGGCACGGCCCGGTGGCAGCCTTAAGGGGGGCCGGCCTCTCTCAAGGGTTTGGACTGCACGGTGGCGGTGACGCACAGCGCGGCTGCCCAGTGGTCTGCTCTCTTTCTCTAGAGAGCGCCCCACGAGTGCGAGAGAGACAGCGGCGGAGGCACTGTTGGGCGGGTCGTGCTTGTTATTCGCAGGCACGGTGTACCGTTCCGCGCGGCGGCCCCGAAGGCCTCGAAGCACCGCGACGACGACGACGGATCGAACTGCGAATAACGTCACGTGATTAATGGGCTGAGAAAGAGAGAGACAACAGAGCCGTTCCGAGAAGGTGCACAGCCAGTGTATTCTCGTCCGGGCAAAGAACGCGCGCGCGGACCGACTCGAGACGGCGGTGCTAAACCTGAAGCGCCGAGACAAAAACGAAACGGAATAGTGCACATTTGACCGACCGGTATTTGAACCCGCGACGCCGGCATCGCGGTGCATCCCGCGCACGTGTGCGAGTGCGTGCGGGTTTCCGTATCTGGAACGCGACAACGCGACGGGACGCGCGGCGAGGACGTGGCCGACCTCTCGCTCTGCGGCGACGCGGCGACGCTGTCCAGTCCGCCAATCCGTCAGGCCGGCGGGCAGGCCGGCCGTCACGCGTCATCGTGTCACGGCGGCTGTCACATCGCGACGGACGCGGCGGACGCCGCTGAGCGGCGCTGTACGGATTCGCATGGCACTCACGTCGCTCTGGCCATCATCCTCTCATTCCTCCGCGGCCTGCAGACTCATTCCGTCTCTTTCGCACTCGGAGAGGTGCGAGGGAGACAGAGCGACGGCAGCACTGTTCAGAATGATTCCGCCGCGGGCCGAAGCCGAAAGCGTGCAGTGTGCGTGCATGTGCATGTTTGCGTGTTCAATTTCGCCCCCCCTCCTTCGCCTTCTTTTCTCGTGCGGCGCTCTCCGCGTGGAGTATATTAGTGTGTACAGTGCGGGAGCGCGGCGTGTGTTTGCAAAGTGGTGCAAGTCGCGGGGAGCCCTCGCGTGTGTCAGTGTGTCAGCCTCGCGTTGCCTCAGGATGGTTCAGACACCCGCCCCAAACCCCAAACGGGGCTCAGGGGGAGCCAGTCGGACTTGGAGGAGCTCACCGGTCTGCTACGCCACCGCCAGCGCGGCCAAGTCGAGTTGATTACACTGTAGTGACCCCGGCGAGGCGACCGGCCGCTCCTGGAAGCCTGGAAGCGCTGTTCAACTTCAACTTCAACTTTGCCGCCACGGTGGAGGGTTCCTCTTGCCGGCGGCGGGGCGGCCGGCCAAGTCGGCCCAAGTTGGCCGGCCGAGCAGAGCGATCCGCGGAGCCCGTCTGCGGCTGGGATTCGGAATCCGGGGTCCGGAAAGGAAAGCCCCGGAATCCCTCAAGTCGGCCTTGGCAGCAGCTGTGACTGACAATCCCAACGTTCCCTGCGTTGCGCTCGGAAAAGTTGCGCCAAGTGGTTACTTTGTGTTGCCGTCCGGGCGGCGGGGCCCGGCAGGGCGCGCTGTCATGTCGCGCGATCGGGCCGTGAGCGATGAGTGCCGCGGGTGCGGAGGTACCGCGGGGTGGGGCGGGGTCGGCGGGGAGGTGCCGGATGGGTGGCCTGCGTCCTCGGCGTGGCGCGGCGAGCTGGGCCCGTTGGGCTGCCTGCCGCGCGGGCGCTTGGAGGTGGCGGTGCGTGGCGCGCGGCGCGTGGTCCGCCTTGACGAGGGCTTTGGGACGTGCAGGGGAACAGCAAGCAAGCAGCCGAGCCGAGGCTGAGCCAACATGGCCAACTACTTCCGCTGGATCCGGGGCGGGTCGCGCCTGGAGGAGGACTTCCCGGCCGTCGGCAAGCCCCGCAGCAGGTCCCTGGACGCCAAGACGCTGGAGCAGTCCGGAGTGCGGCTCGTGCAGCAAGTAAGGAACTCGGCCCCGGCCGACGGTGGGCCGAACGGGGGCACGGGAGGCTGGGGAGAATGTGGCCGGAAGGGAATTGGAGAGGATTCCATCGGGAGGCCCGGCATGGACTGCATGTGGGCGAGAGAGTGCCACAGTGGTGCAGCGGCGCGGGGCGCCCGACGATGCAGAATGCAGCCCGGCGCGCAGGCGTGCGCTGTGGCGCGTGTGTTGCCTACCGCCACGGCGCTCCGCGTGCTTGACCTGAGCGTGCGGCGCGCCGACGTGGTGGAGCCTCTCCCCGCCCCAGCGGGGGGCGTGTCCGTGTTTGTGTTTACGTCTCGGCCGGCACACCGTTCTGATTTGTGTTTTTATTTGCTTGTTTGCAGAGAGCGGTAGCGCAGCACAGAGCAGTCGCGGCACAGAGTGAGTACCGATCTCTTCTCTTGTTTCTCCTTCCGGTTTGTTGACTGTGTTTGGAAGGAAGGAAGGCGAGCCCGGTCGTTTTCCTCGCCGATGGCGTCGCCGCGGGGGTTCCTCCCTTGAACTGCTCGCGGAGTCTTTCATTTGCCCGCTGGATGCCATTCCATCAAACTAAAAGTTGACAACGGTTCCAATTGTTCCGGGGTTCTGCCGGCGTGCCCGCGGGGTGCTGCCGTACTGCTCCGTGGGCGTCAGGTGTTGGCAAGCCCCGGCGAAACGGCCGTTTAATTCCACCCGATCCGCAATTAAGTCCGGAGCACTTGGCCAGGTTTGCCAGTCGGTCGGCCGGCCGCTGGCGGGCCATTCGCGACGTGCTACGTGGTCGGGCAATTCCATGATGGATTTTCGGCTCTCCTCTCCGGTGGATCCGTGTCGTGCCCGTCGGGGCGTCGGGTTACGTTTTTATGACGGGGGCATCGATTGGCGAATGCCGCGAATGCCACACGAGCCTGGCCGGCCTGCCGCGGCCTGCCGGGGTTGCTCGGCTCGGGTGCGAGGGGCGTTAGCGTTAGCGGACCGGGCCGCTGTCAACGCGAAACGCGACCACCCCACTTTGTTGTTGGAAGTTGACTCGCCGCTCGAGCGGCACTTTCATTCCGGTGCGCGGTGCTCTGTCGTTGTGTGGTAATCTGGTTTCACTTTGCGCCGCAACCCGCCAGCCACGCCGCGGGCGCTAGCGGAGCCGAGTGAAGCTTTGCGTTCCGGCCCTCGAGGTCGTCCTCGCTGGGGCCCTTTCCGACTCCCAGCGGCCCTGGCGCGGCCCGGCCCGGCCGGGCGTGGCTTGTTCGCTTACCAGCATACCTCGCCACGTAATCTCGCGTCCTTCGTCTCTCTCTCTCTTCCCCCATCCCTCGTGCCTTCCAGCGCGTATCTCCTCACGCACGAGCGCCGGCACCACCGCAGTCCCATCTCGCACTCCCCACCCCCTTTCGCTCCCCTGTTCTCCCCTCCCCCCGAGCCGTTAAAAAGATAGAAGGCCGTGACTGATCCTTCCGAAAACAAAGGAGTGGATGTGGCCATGGAGACAAGCTACTAACGTAGGGAGACGCAAGGTCCCGCTTCCTGTCACCAGGTCATGTAGTTTGGAGGGAGTGAGACAGACATACTTCGGAGTTTCTTTTTAACACTTTACATTGAATTGGCGATACTTTCGTCACATCCGACTACTCTTATGATAGTTTCTATCCTGTAGGATGACGAAGATGACATTTGTCACTCGAAATATCATCGACATAAATAAAGTCTTCAGTTTCGTAGGTTAGAAAATCGGACCTCTCTCTCGCGAGATCTGACATGACCTGGTGACACGCAGTTCTCGTGGTTTATTTCAGGGAAATATTCAACCGATTGCCAAATGAAAGGTATTAACATCATCAATGATCCTTCCTGATTCCATAGACCAGATAAAATTGGATGATTATCGCAATTAAATAGTTTGAAAGTGTTGAAATACCGGAGGGTGTCCCAAACCTTGCGTCTCCCTACGTTAGTAGCTTGTCTCCATGATGTGGCCGTCGGACTAGGCCGCGAATCTTTCGTGTCGCCACTGGGGTGCGCGGGGTTGACTGGGTGCCGTCAGGTCCGTCAGGGTGGCGCGCGGCCCGCCCCTCCTCCCCGAGCCGAATGCCGATGGAAGATGTCATCAATTTCTGCGCCAGCGGCGGCGTCCTGGAAGCCGGTAATGCCGTGAGCGGCCGTGAGGCCGTGAGCGGCCGTGAGCCCCAGGGATGGGCAGCTGGGCTTTCCGCGCACTTTGTAAGCCGTAAGCCTCGCCGCCTCTCATGCCGAAGGGTCGTCTCCTCCTCGTCGCACTCCCGGGGCGTGCCGTGAGGTGCGAGAGAGACAGAGCGAAAGAAACTATTCTTCGGCCGGTGCGGCACGTGGGGTATTACCCTGCTTGGAACGTCGCGCCGTTCAATCTCCTCGCCGCGTCTGTGCCATATTGATTTTCCTCGCTTTTTTCCGCCTAGTTGGAAGCGCTTGCGCGCCAGTCCGCGACGCGGTAAAGCCGGGGAAGTGGGTCGGCGGGGACAGCCTTGCGCGCCGTGCGCGTCCGTGCGCCTCGTCCCTTGTTGTTAGATCTTGTAATCCGGGCCATTTAGAAGGCAGGCGAGGCCGTGTTTGGGGCTTGTCTTGCTCACAGAGGCCTCCCCGAATTTCAGAGGAGCCCAGCAGGCAGATTCCGAGCTTCGTTTTCGTCGCCCTGTCCCTCTCGCACCTGTACGGGGCGCCCCGTGAGTGCGAGGGAGACAGAGCGACGAAAACGACTCTCGGAATGAGTCTGCAGCCTGAAGGGGGTCGGAGGAGTTATTTCGACGTGCCGTGACAAGGAGCTGCCCGAGGAGCCTGGAGGATCTCGGAGGAGGCCGCGTGGCGCTGCTTCAAGGACGAACCGGAGGCGGCAGCAAGGCAGCGAGCTCCAGGGCCGCGGAGTGGCGGAAAGGGCAAGGCCGTCTCAAGGTCGGAGGGCTCGTCCTAATAAGAAAGGTCCTTACTACGTCCGGGCGGTCCTGGGCCACCACGTGGGCGCGAGGGCGGCATGGCGGCGGGCAGGGCGCGGAGGGGGCCGCCGCCAGGACGGCAGGCGGGGCAGGGCAGGCAGGGCGAGGGCGGCCCTGCCATGAGCACCGGCAGCACCGGCAGCCCGACACACCGGTCCGGCTTGACTCGGCAGCGCGACTCGACTCGGCTCGTCACGGCGTGGCCGCCAGCACCGCCACACCGCCAGCCCAGGCCGCCGGGCCGCTAGGGGGAGTGTGGGGCCAGGGCGGCGTGGCGCGGCGCTGTGCTGCTGGGCTGGCTGCGCGCTGCGCGCTACGGGCTGCGCCGCGCCACTCACTCCACTCAGTGAGTCTGCCGCGCGCGCTCCGAACAGTCGGGCTTCGGGCTTCGCGTCGGGCCGCGCGCCGCGCCGTGCTGAGCCGCGCAAGCCGAGCGGCCGCGCCGCCAAGTCGCGAGTGTGTTGGTGTGCGTGTGCGTGCGTGTCAGTGTGAATGTGAATGTGTGTGGCCCATCGAGTGAGTTAGTGAATCGACCGGGACACCCCTGTTGTTGCCATTCCATTAGCACCGCGCCCTCCGCGCCGTCGTCGCGAGTCACGTACAGTCACGTACGCCAAACGCACCGCACGCCGACCTGGTTTGGGCGGCCAGGTGGCGGGGCGCGGACGGCGGACGACGCCGTCGACGCTTTGGTCGCCGCCCTGCACCGGCTGCACCGACTGCCACGCCGGCCACGCCCCTGCAGACCTGGGCTCGCTGAGATAAACCTATAAAAAGAAAGCTGCCAACACTCGAGTGTGTCTGCGGGCCCTGCGGGGTGGGCAGACGACGCGATACGACCGCGCCACGCTACACACGTGCACCCGTGTCCGGGTCGGGTCTGGCCAGCTTGCTGCCCACGAGGCTGGAGCGCTGGAGCGCACTGGAGGCCCTGGAGGCCCCAGCGACCAGGGCCCAATTAAATGCCCCCCACCCTTGACCCCTCCCCGCAACGCACCGCCACGCCAAGCCTCGGGTACCTGGCCGTGCTCCACGCGCTGCGTGGCCGAGTGGCCGAGGGAAGTGCCACACGCTGGCACACTGGGCGGAGGCGCGGCTCGGCCCGCTCCGGGCGGTGGCGGCGGTGTCGTCTGCTGGCTGGCCGCGACTTGGCGAGTCTCGACACGGGCCCAGGCCCACGGGCCGTGCTGGACTGGGCGATCCGATCCCCTCCCTCGGCATGACTAACCGGCCATAAGCATAGTCCACGTGTGCGCGTCATAGTTCGCGAGGCGTGGCGGCGTGGCGTGCCGGCGGCCGGTCGGGCGAGCAGCTGAGTGCGGCGGTCTTGGCCTCCGCCTGCCGCGCCTCGCGCCTCGTGCGTCCCGACCGACAGCAACACGCCAACACGCGTGGGAAGCGCGGCCGGCGGACACGCTGTGCACGGACCCTCGCCGCCGTGGTCAGGTTGGCCCGGGGGGCGGCGCGGCCTTGCCCACAAGGGGTGGACGTTAGAGTCGTCTTCGCGGCGCGCCGGATTTGCACCCCCACCCCCTGGCCCTGGCTGTCGCTGGCGGGAGCGAGGAAGCGAGACCTGCCCGCTGCTTGGTATTGCATCATGACGCGCGGAAGCAGGAAGGGGGCCTGCAGGGAGGAGGGCGGGGCTGCCGCCGTCGCGATCCTGGAGTATAACGCAGTGGTGCCGCGGGACAAAGGCGCCCTTCTCGCTCGCCGCTTCGCCGCTTCAATAAAGAGATCCGCGCGCCGCGCCCCGCCGGCACAGCGGCTCGGCGGCCACGTCCTTGAAGCGGACGGCTCCCCGAGGGAGGCTGCCGTGCGCCGCCGCGCCGCGCCGCGCCACGACCGCCAGAACCGCCAGAACAATCGGGAGGACGATCTAGCCATCTATCCATCTAACTGCCACGTGGTCCGCGTCGGGTGTATAGGGCCCGCGTCGGGTTGGCGGCAAGGCGCAGCCACCGTCATCGTGACCGTCATCAGCTCGATCATCTCGTCCAAATCTCCCGCCAAGTCGGAACTCGCGGGGTTTATTTATGACTGCAACGTGCATTCGCGTCACCAACTCGGAGTGAGGCTCGGCCTTTATGCCCCCCTCCCCTTTTCCCCCGCCACTGCCCGCCACGAAGACGCTGCCACGCTGCCGCTCGCCCGGCAGGTGCCCCGCCGCCGTGGCGCCGGCTCCAGCCGCGCTCCGCCGCGCCGCTTTCTGCCGCCGTTTTAGTCTTTTGGCCGGCCATAATGGCTCCTCCCCGGCGCACAGTGGGCCAGGAGGCCGGTGGAGGCGGCCTTAACTCTAGACGCGTTTTTGGCTCCAGAGTCGCTTAACAGGACTCGAACCGAACGTGTGGCCCCACCAATGGATTGGCCGCCTCCACCACAGGTCTTCTCGCCCGCGGAGCGGCATGGCGGCAAGGCCCGCCGCGAGGCTAGGCTCACAATGTC